CATGAGAAACTCTCCAGACACGAAACAGAACGCTTTAAAAGAGACTAACGTCGTCTATGCCTTCAAATGCCCACTTGGGGACTGTAAGCTCCAAAAAACCCAGTATATAGGCAAGACAACAACATCTCTTTCTAGGCGTTTAACGATGCATAAACAACAGGGCTCCATTAAGGAACATATAATCTCTTCCCATAACCAAACCATCGCCAGAGAAATCCTAGTAAACAACACAGAAATCATCGATAGATACAGCGATAGCAGGCGGCTCGACGTTTGCGAGGCACTACACATCAAGAAGTCAACACCAGCAATCAACAGCCAATTATTGCACAACTATATTCTACCCACCTCAAGACTCCGCTCCAATATAGAAGCATCAAGAAATATGGACCAATAGGCTTTCTACAAACACTTCTATTCAATATCCATTGTTTCGTGTTCTGTCTTGTGTTGATACTTTTAATACCCTATTAATATCCTCTAATGCCACATCATCCTTCCCACCTTACTCAAATGTAATGCCACATCACCCTTCCCACCTCACTCAAATGTAGATATAAAATCAGGGAAACGCAAGTTCTAATCAGTTGTGTATTTGTGAAGTCTTTGAAAATGTAATAAGTTTTACGAAACGCGCCCGTGTCGCGTCAGACTAGAAATAAAAATGAATTTTGGAGAAGTGATTTTTGATTTACCTCCAACAGTGAAGCATAATGTACGAAAGATTGAGAAAATTCGTGTTAGAATTATTAATCTTACTTTTTCGGTCATATTTAATAAAATATATATATATATATATATATAACTGAAAACTCACACCCCAGAAGTGACTCGAACCCATACTGCCAGGAGCAACGCAACTGGTATGTACAGGACGCCTTAATCCGCTTGACCATCACGACCGGACATAAGGAAGTGATAGCTGAAGCTATTTGAACCACTTCCCCGCCGGTACTCGGATGGTAATCTTGGGCATAGCATTTTTATCAAATCACCTCATTCTTTGGGGCACACGTGAGGAACACAAATGCGAACAAGCCTGAATGGTCCCTAGGACTATATGCGACTGAAAACTCACACCCCAGAAGTGACTCGAACCCATACTTCCAGGAGCAATGCAACTGGTAAGTACAGGACACCTTAATCTGCTTGACCATCACGACCGGACATAAGGAAGTGATAGCCGAAGCTATTTGAACCACTTCCCCGCCGGTACTCGGATGGTTCGCATTTGTGTTCCTCACGTGTGCCCCAAACAATGAGGTGATTTGATAAAAATGCTATGCCCAAGATTACCATCTGAGTGCCGGTAGGAAAGTGGTTCAAATAGCTTCGGCTATCACTTCCTTATGTCCGGTCGTGATGGTCAAGTGGATTAAGGCGTCCTGTAGTTACCAGTTGCGTTGCTCCTGGGAGTATGGGTTCGAGTCACTTCTGGGGTGTGAGTTTTCAGTCATAATGGAGCCCTGTTGCTAATGCATCGTCAATTGCCTGGAAAGAGATGTTGTTGTCTTGCCTATATACTGAGTTCTTTGAGGCTTACAGACCCCAAGTGGGCATTTGAAGGCATAGACGACATTGGTCTCTTTCAAAGCGTTCTGCTTTGTGTCTGGAGAGTTTTTCATGAGTAGGTTGGCCGTTTTTTTGGTTTTATAGTAAATCGTCAATTGCATCTTCTGATTTTTGTCTGTAGGGATAACGTTTCTATTAACAATATCTTTCAGGACCCTTTCCTCCATTTTATGAGCTGTGGAAAAGAGGTTCCTGTAAAATAGTCTAATAGGGGGTACAGGTGTTGTGTTGACTCTTTAGAGGTTGCATGGCATTTCACCTTCCTCTTTATGATGTCTTCAACGAAAGCATTGGAGAAGCCGTTGTTGACTAGGATCTGCCTTACCCTACATAGTTCTTCATCGACTTGCTTCCATCCTGAGCTGTAGCTGAGAGCACGGTCGACGTAAGCGTTGACAACACTCCTCTTGTACCTGTCTGGGCAGTCACTGTTGGCATTGAGGCACATTCTTATGTTTGTTTCCTTAGTGTAGACTGCAGTGTGGAAACCTCCGCTCCTTTCCATGACTGTTACATCTAGAAAGGGCAGCTTCCCATCGTTCTCCATCTCGTAAGTGAAACTCAACACAGAATTCCGCTCGAATGCCTCCTTCAGCTCCTGCAGACGTCTGACATCAGGTACCTGTGTAAACATGTTGTCAACATACCTGCAGTATATGGCAGGTTTCAAGTTAATGTCAACTAAGACCTTCTGTTTGATGGTACCCATGTAGAAGTTTGCAAACAGGACACCTAGGGGAGAACCCATGGTGACCCCATCTACTTGCTTATACATGTGCCCATCAGGGCTCAAGAAGGTTGCCTCTTTAGTACAAGCTTGGAGTAGTTTCCTTAGAATGTTTTCTGGTATGTCAAGAGGAGTACAGGCCGGATCACGATACACTCTGTCCGCTATCATCCCGATTGTTTCATCCACAGGTACGTTGATAAACAGTGATTCTACGTCCAACGAGGCTCTTATCCCTGTGGCCCATGTTCCCCGCAGTAAGTCAACAAATTCCTTTGGAGACTTCAGGCCGTTGAGTCATCACCAGCAATCAACAGCCAATTAATGCACAACTATATTCTACCCACTTCAAGACTCCGTACCTATATAGAAGCATCAAGAAGAAGTATGGGCCAATAGGCCCTATGCAGTTACTTCCATTCTTCCCTCTCATTTATCCAATTTATACCCATTGCACCGTGTTTGTCTTGTGTTGGTCAAAAGTTTGTTCACCTCATCCAAAACTGTTGCAACATATCACCTCACCCAAATGCGAGTATATAAGACAAGCTGTTCAATGTTAGCATTAATTAAAACTCTGTTTTCAAGTTACAGTTGTGTGAGTGTAAACTAAAGTCTTTGAAAATGTAATAAGTTATTACGAAACGCGTTCAATCGTCGTGTCAGACTAGAAATAAAAATGAATTTTGAAGAATTGATTTTTCAATTACCATCGACAGTAAAAAGAAACATAAGAAATATTGAGAAAATTCGTGTTAGAATTATTAATCTTACTTTTTCGGTCATATTTAACAACATATAATTATATATATAATGTGTGTGCTGTCTGTGTGCAAAGGCAGTTCATTTTATTTGATATGTGAAATGTAGGTGAGGCTACAGCCTGGACTCTGGAAGTGAGTTGAAAACCCCATCCAAGGTATTATTTTTTATTTATTATATTTCTTTGTATTAAATGTTTGCTTGTTTGAAGATTTGTTTCCCCTTATCAATGTGAGATTTTTAAAAGATGATCACGTTATCCTGCTTGATTATTAATGAGAAGAGAGACTCACCTAGATTGTCTTACGTGCCTGGGCAGGGGTAGCTGGGCAAGATATATATTGGGTAAATGTACTCACTTAGTGGGAGCTGGTCGGCCGAGCGGACAGCACACTGGACTTGTAATCCTGTGGTCCTGGGTTCGATCCCAGGCGCCGGCGAGAAACATTGGGCAGAGTTTCTTTCACCCTATGCCCCTGTTACTTAGCAGTAAAATAGGTACCTGGGTGTTAGTCAGCTGTCACGGGCTGCTTCCTGGGGATGGAGGCCTGGTCGAGGACCGGGCCGCGGGGACACTAAAGCCCCGAAATCATCTCAAGATAACCTCAAGATAACCCAGATTGTCTGACATGGCTGAGGAGAGAATATAAGAAATAATTATCTTCTGCAGTGTGTGTGGATAGTGTACTACTCATCTTGAGTGTCTTGCAGTGGTAAAGCTTCAGCTCTTGTATCAGCTTCAGTTTATTTATTTTGTTTACTGTTCCGATACAGAGATAATGCTTTCTCATATTATGTGGCTTGTTAAACCCTTTCCTTTCAATATGCGCCCCTTAGTCGGGTACCAGCCTTGCTAAATAGGCTGTCTTTGTTTATCTTGTACTTTGTATTTAGTGATGATGTCTTCCCATGTCTTATCTTCCACGAACACTAGGCTTCACTTATTTCTTTTTTTTTTCTTGTTACTTATACACTAGGCTCTGGGATCAGTCTGGTGATATACCTGTGAAGAAATGTGATCTTTGTGTTGCCACATATTCCAGCTATGGTGTGACATGTGTGGTATACAGCCTGTCTAGATAGTACTTATAGCAACGATGTGCACCATCGTACGTATATTGACGTAATGGACAATTACGCCAATATACATACGACGGTCCACCTCTTGTACCAATTTTCTTATCTCTTGCATTTTGTTAACTACTCTCACTAATGACTCTTGTCTCATTTGGGTACTCAGTTTTCACCTGTGTCCCATTGTTCGTGTTCTGCTCCTGATTAATAGTTTGTCTTCGTCCACCCTATCAATTCCTCTCAGAATTTTGTTGTGTGGTGATTATGTCCACCTCCTGTCTTCCAGGGACGTGAGGTTCAGTTACCATAGCGTTTCCTCGTAACTCATACCTCTCAGTTGTGGGACTAGTCTGGTGGCCTACCTCTGAATCTTCTCTAACGTTGTCTTGTGTTTAACTAGGTATGGTCTCCAGGCTGGAGCTGCATACTCCAGGATTGGTCTGACATATGTGTGTTTATGTGTGTGTTTGTGGCTGGTTTGTAGTCACAAACCATGTGGTTGGTTTGTAACCAATCACTTGGGATGGACGGTAGAGCGACGGTCTAGCTTCATGCAAGTCGGCGCTCAATCCCCGACCGTCCAAGTGTTTGGGCACCAATTCTTTCACTAGTCCCATCCGAAATCCTTATCCTGACCCCTTCCCAGTGCTATATTATCCTGACCCCTTCCCAGTGCTATATTATCCTGACCCCTTCCCAGTGCTATATTATCCTGACCCCTTCCCAGTGCTATATAGTCGTAATAGTTAGGCGCTTTCCCCTCATAATTCCCTTCCCCCTTGTGTGTTTTTGTTTCTTGTATGTGTTTGTTTCCGTACTATAGTAATTCCTTACTATAGTAGTAAGACAGACATCCTCAACTTACTTGGGAATAATTCGCAGCCGAAAGCCCTGGATTCAGTACACGCCAAGTTGTTCCACTTGCCATGGCTGGGGTCATTAGGGTAGTCGATGATCTCTGTGCACCACTCATTGTCCATAGCGTTGGGTTCGCCCGTGTTCCAGTTGGTGTAGTTGTTGAGCTGGCCGTCGCTCCAGCCCCACTGAGCGCTGGTGTCCTCATACTTCAGCCCCAGCCACGTGGCGTCGCTCATGTGCCTCAACAGCTCTGTGGAGGGCTCCCTGGGGTTACATTACTCGCCAAGCCTAGCACCTTCACGTTATGAAAGGTGTTACAAATGTCTCACACCTGTGTCTTGAGACGATGTGTTCGGACGTGGCTCTCTCAGGTAGAGATCAAAAGTGATTATTATTTTACCCAAGAACATTTTCCTACTGAATTTACCAATAAACGTGCAGGTGTATTATAAACGTGCAGGTTTGTATTAATACAAAATTAACATTTGTAATAAGAGATATATTGATCATAAACTAATCAATGAACATAGCATCCATAGACATAATCGCGTAATATAATTGGCTTGAGTAATTAGTGAAAGACAATAATTACCTGTGAAAAATGAGTTTTCGTCATCTGAGTGAATACTGACGAGGTCTGCCTCCATGTTGAACCCTTGACACTTGTCACGTGCCTCTTGCCAAGTCATCTCGTAGTCGCTGGCGAAGTAACACTTTTTCTTCTCATATGTCCAGGTCTGTGGGCAAGTTTCTGGAAGAGGAGAAATTGTGTCCAGCTTCAGCTCTACCATCACTACATACACAATTGTTCAAGGGAGATTGTGTCCAGCTTCAGCTCTACCATCACTACATACACAATTGTTCAAGGGAGAGTGTGTTCAGGTTCAGCTCTACCATCACTACATACACAATTGTTCAAGGGAGAGTGTGTCCAGCTTCAGCTCTACCATCACTACATACACAATTGTTCAAGGGAGAGTGTGTTCAGCTTCAGCTCTACCATCACTACATACACAATTGTTCAAGGGAGATTGTGTTCAGCATCAGCTCTAATATCACCATATTCAGAGCCACTCAACCAACTAAACTTTCCTGGTTTAATTTTCATTCAGTATTTTTTCCAGCATTAGGTTTTATACATCTAATAAAAACATTATTAGATGGTAATATTAAAAGATTATTTATTTAATAATATATAATAGAAATAAACAACAACAAAACACAATACGTAATAAAACTACTCATATTTTAATGAGTTCAGATCACATAAAAATCACGTAATAATCGTCACAAAACTAGACTAATTATCATTACACAGATTAATAATACAATTACTGTTAAATGAGCGTGTGAACTTACTGACGTTAATCTTGCAGACGTAATAATTGAGCTGTGAGCACGGCATGTCGTTCCACGTGTACCAGTAGTCTGACCTCTTCTGTTGAGGGGAGGAGAAAATCACTTGTTAACTAACTGTTCTTCAGTTGTTACCACACAGTTATCGTGAACCTTAAAGTCAAAATTGACTTCTGTAATTATGAGAAACTGTATTGATTGTTTTGTATCGGATTCCTATACAACTGTATTGTATAGGAATCCGAATCAGTTAATGATCCAAAGGTGCGATATATAGTGCGGACATTCCTGAATTTACCTGAGGGACCACCAGCTCTAGTGGCCTCGACGGGGACAGGAAGTCGGCAGTTTGTCAAAAGTCCTCCAATAATTATTGAGGATTTTTTTCAGCTGAATTTTAAATTAAATTTATGTCTTGGTAGTTACGGCTTCGGCGGGTAGGTGGTTCTATGGGTTTATAGAACTGTGGTTGAAAAAGCAGCCCTTGTTTCTTGACCAATATTGTGGTTTGCTGAGTTGTTGCTCTTTGTTTGTGTTACGTGTGTTGAGGAGCTGTTGCTCCTTGTGCACACGAGGAGTCACAATAACGTGGCTGAAATATGTTGACAAAACCACACACTAGAAAGTGAAGGGACGACGACGTTTCGGTCCGTCCTGGACCATTCTCAAGTCGATTGTGAGAATGGTTCACAATCGACTTGAGAATGGTCCAGGACGGACCGAAACGTCGTCGTCTCTACAACTTCTGGTGTGTGGTTTGGTCATCGTATCTTGTTAAGTTAGGTTGGCAGTGTTGTTAATCCTGTGGCCGTCAATTGTTCCTGGTACGAGAGTTGACTTAGTTCTGTACGTGGTCTCCTTGCTTGTATACAGAAGTGTTGGTAAAAAGTTGATAAGTTGATAAGGAGAAATACATTGATTTTTTTTTAATAAAAGTTTGTGACTGACTGACTAAATACATTGTTATAACTTGCTGACAATCTGTAATGCGGTTTATAATACTTAACAAAGAACTATTTACTGAATGACAGAAACAATTGTACATCAAATGTTTTTAAAGAACATATAAGTGAATGCGATGAACACAGTGAACATGTAGGGAATATGAGCTGAACTTGGAAAGTGCACGAAGGATGAACAACAAACTTGTGAATAACATTCTGAGAACGTTATGAGAACATGACAAAGAACCCAGAGTACATGAGGAGAATTTGTAGAGAACATAAAAGAGAATGGGAAGAACGTGGAGAAGCAGGTGAAAAAACTATGAATTGAACTCGTAGAGAATATACGGTGAACATTTCGCAGGAAATGAAGAGAACATGAAAGAGAATGCGATGAATATGGAGAAACAGGCAAGAATATGATTTGAACTTGCAGAGAACATGGATAATAAGTATAAAAGTTGTACAGAGAAAAGGCTGTGAACATTTGCAGAATATGAAGAGCACAGATAAACAGGTGAAAATATGGCATGTATATTTGAGAGGATATTTTAAGAACAAGGGGAGAACATATAAATACGGTAAGACTATTGGTCATAGTTGTATTTTATCATTCTTGTGGGTGCAGAGTTGTGAATGAATCTGGGGAAGGGGGAATGGGCGAGATGTGGGAGAGTAGGGGGGTGAGGGAGGGGAAGGTAAGAGTGTGGGGAGTTGGGGGAGGTAAGGGAGGGGAAGGTAAGGTGTGAGGGAGATAAGTAAGTAATTATCAAAAGAAAGCACCAAACTGAGAAGGCTATGTAGCACCATCAAATGTGCGGAATAATCAGTGGGCGCTAAATATCACCAAGGATGCCAATACGAGAACAAAAACGCATAAGGCGAACGATATCAAAAGTATCCGAGTCACCAAGAATTCCATTGAGGGACAGGTGACCGCGAGGGGCGGCCGGAAAGCAAGACACACGCTCGTCCTGGAAGTCAGGACATTCAAGAAGGACATGCACGACCGTAAGAGGGACAATGCAATTAGGACAATAAGGAGCAGGGCGGCGCTCCATCAAGTGACCATGGGTTAAGTGAGTATGGCCAATACGCAACCTCGCCAGAGCTGTTTCCCATCGCCGGTTACGGTGGCAGGAGGACGGCCACGAGGAAACACAACATTTAAGAGTACGAAGTTTGTTACCAGTAACAGACGACCAAGAAGCCTGCCAACGGGTAAGGACGGAGGAATGGATAACCGGGTAAAAGTCGGAATATGGAATACCTTTACGAGAGATGGGACAAGAGTGGACAGCTTCCTTGGCGGCAGCATGCGCACGCTCATTTAAAGACACACCAATATGGCTGGGAACCCAACAAAACTCAACCGACTTAAATTTACTGTGAACAAGAAACAGCCAATGCTGGATCTCGACAACTACTGGATGAACCGGATTAAAGGACCCGAGAGCCATGAGGGCACTACGAGAGTCAACAACAACTACAAAGGAAGACTGACAACGAGAAAGCAGGAGACGAAGAGCATAGAGAATAGCATAAAGCTCCGCTGTGAAGATGCTAGTCTCCGGAGGTAAGCGACACATATAAGTGTGATCAGGAAAAACAACAGAGTAGCCAACACCGTCCGCTGACTTAGACCCATCAGTGATCACTCACCATTACATGGTGAGTGATTATTTACATGCCTGAGTAATAAGCCTATTGAAGGAGAGGATATGTTTACTATGATAATGTGATATAGGGATCAGGGAGCGGGTCTTGATCTGAAATACTAAGTTTGATGAACTAAGGTGGAGGAGAGAAGTTGGAACTTGATAACTATCTTGATCTTATTGACTGTGTCAAAAAATATAGCAGTTTTATATTTTGCTGTGGTCTGAACTGATAATAGCAGAGTTGTACAAGTGAACTAGGGTGGGGGACAAGAGCTGAAACTCGGTATGTGTTTTGCTTTATTTTAAAGAGTCTGAAATATAGCAGGTTTCAATTTTAGGTGATTTGGATAGATACTATCTTGATGTTATCTTGAGATGATTTCGGGACTTAGCGTCCCCGCGGCCCGGTCCTCGACCAGGGCCTCCTTTTTTGTTACACACCACCAGGAAGCAGCCCGTAGCAACTGTCTAACTCCCAGGTATCTATTTACTGCTAGGTAACAGGTGCATCAGGGTGAAAGAAACTTTTTGCCCATTTATCTGCCTCCTCCGGCGATCGAATCCGAAACCTCGGACTACGAATCCGAAGTGCTGTCCACTCAACTGCCAGGCGCTCTTAGAAGATGTACTAACAGAGATGTACGAATGAACTAAAGTGGAGGACAGGAGCTGAAACACGGTAACTGTGTTTATCTTATTTATTACAGCTGAAATAACTGTTTTAAATCTCAGGGGATTTGAGTAGATACTCATGGAGTTGTGCGAGTAACATATGGCGGGGAACAAGAGCTGGATCTCGGAAGCTGTGTTTATCTTATTTACTATGTCCGAAATACAGCGACTTTATAATATAGGAGAATTGGATAGATACTAACGAAGTTACATGAGTAAAGTAAAGCGGGGGACGGGAGCTAGAATTCGGTAACTATATTTTCTTTCCTTACTACGTTCTGAATATATATGTTTTAAATTTTGAGGAAAATGATTGGTTAATAACGAAGTTGTAACAGTAAACTAAGGCAGGGACGAGAACTGGAGCTCGGTAACACTATTTTCTTTTTTTACTACATTCTAAGTATGACTAAAATTGGCTAAAATTGGGCTACTAATAGCAAAACTATACTTATAAATGTATAAAGTTGGGTCCAAGAACTAACTTCTGATGAAATTTTTAAAAATATCTAGTCAAGTCTGTTGAGTTTAATTATATCCATAAAGCTTTTTTAAGACCTCAGCGAGGATTAAAACTCTAACAAATTTCGGTCTTAAACTGGACTCTAAACAATTTCGGTCTTAAAATAGGTGACAGAGCAGTAAATAGACACAAAACAAAACCTTACTGCTAAGGGGTCTATTTTTCTTAAGAAAACTTCTGTGAACATATTCTTCGAAAAATTAAAAAAAGTGGCGCCTTTTCGGAAAGTTCGCTAAATACGGTGGTCCACAGAGGCACCATTTTAAAAAATCCCGATGGTGCCGCTAAGCTGCCAATAACACTACTGGTGTGGTGATGGTGGATGTGGTGGTGGGTGTAGTGGTGGGCATGATGGTGGTGGTGGGTGTAGTGGTGGGCATGATGGTGGTGGTGGGTGTGGGTGTAGTGGTGGGCATGATGGTGGTGGTGGGTGTGGGTGTAGTGGTGGGCATGATGGTGGTGGTGGGTGTGGTGGTGAGAGACCAACGTAGTACATAATATCATTAAGACCACAGGATGTAGCTTTTCTATAAAAAAAAAGCATTTCCTTGTTATTAGTGTTGAAAACCAGTGTTGTACCGTCGCCAGAACTACATCATTGTCCATAGTGTAATGTTCCATATTGTTTATCATCTGCTGTATTGCTTCAACATTTTCTGATATGTTAGATTACTTATTTGTATTTGTAGGTGTTTTCCACATTATACCTATTAATATTTTGTTATCTAAATCTAAATTATTCTAAATTTTACCCAAAACGCTTTGCGTAGTAGAGGTATAATATTTTTGTGTGACCCTGTACCTTCCTCTCACCTTCTTTGTACCAAGATTCTTATGAATGCAATTATTTACACAGAGAAATCACAGTAATGCGATATATCAGTAAGAAAATCCACAAGAGCCATGATGAGGATTCGAACCTATGTGCTGGGTATTCCCAGGCACACACTCTATAGGCAACTTGGTATACATAGTAAAAGAACTGCAATCTGGGGCTCAATCTGAAGCTCAACCAGGTTTCACACAATTCCCGCCGTGCACTCTAGCTTCTTATGAGTTATTATTATTAATACTAATATCGAGAAAATGAGTAGGAACCTTGAGGATTCAAACCTGAGCTCTGAGTACTGCCAAAGACACGCTTTGTGCATTATTAATATGAGTAATAGCCGTAGTATCTTACCTCCGCGCAGTGTTCGACTCCACCTTGGTTATTAGGTTCCCCAGAGTACCAGTTAGTGAAGACGAAGGGCGAGCCGTCCACCCAGTGCCAGTTGGCGCCGTTGTCGTCATCGTGAAGACCCATCCAAATGTTGATGTACCCACTGCTCATCAGCGCTGCGGGACGACATGAGGTGTTGGTTAGCTCTGTGATGAGCCACTCACCACAGGCTGACAGACCATGCTGCAGGCTGCAGACCATGCCACAGGCTGCAGGCTGCAGACCATGCCACAGGTTGCAGGCTGTAGACCATGCCACAAGCTGCAGGCTGCAGACCATGCCACAGGCTGCAGACCATGCCACAAGCTGCAGGCTGCAGACCATGCCACAAGCTGCAGGCTGCAGACCATGCCACAAGCTGCAGGCTGCAGACCATGCCACAGGCTGCAGGCTGCAGACCATGCCACAGGCTGCAGACCATGCCACAGGTTGCAGGCTGCAGACCATGCCACAAGCTGCAGACCATGCCACAAGCTGCAGACCATGCCACAAGCTGCAGACCATGCCACAAGCTGCAGGCTGCAGACCATGAGAACGACTCTCATGAAAGGGCCCGAGAACGACTCGGGCCCTTGAGTCGAAGACACGGCTTAGGACACATCTGGCCCTGTATGTATCGGGGCATTCTGTAGAATCTTTCCTTAATACCTCAGAGTTAATAGGTGCTAGTAATTGTTGCTAGATACTTGTATTATTATAAATTCATACAGAGCCACACATGGGTAGAGAGTAGGTCCAATACTGACTATTCCAAATCCGATTGTAAGACATCACGTTTTGGCCAAAACAGTTGAGTGGCGCTGACCTTTCACAGATGCTATTGTTTAACAAATCATAACCATTGTAATAGTTGAAAGTATGGGACGAAACAGTATTATATTACACATTCATTCCCTCCGGAGTATCCCAGCTCCTTGTCCTCATATACTAGCTCCTTGTCCTCATATACTAGCTCCTTGTCCTCATATACTAGCTCCTTGTATTCACATCCCAGCTCCTTGTGCTTATATACTAGCTCCTTGTACTCACATCCCAGCTCCTTGTCCTCATATCTGAGCTCCTTTTCCTTATATCCCAGCTCTTTGTTCTCACATCTCAGCTCCTTGTACTCATATCCCAGCTCCTTATCTTCACATTCCAGCTCCTTGTACTCATATCCCAGCTCCTTGTCCTCACATACCAGATCCTTTCCTCACATCCCAGCTCCTTCACGTCATATCCCAGCTCCTTGTCCTCATATCTCAGCTCCTTTTCCTCATATCCCAGCTCTTTGTTCTCACATTCCAGCTCCTTGTACTCATATCCCAGCTGCTTGTCCTCACATCCCAGCTCCTTCACGTCATATCCCAACTTCTTGTCCTCATATCCCAGCCTCTGGTCCTCATATCCCTTCCCTGAGGTATATAGGCATACCAGCCGAGCGGTTGCTCCTCATAATTCGTCCCCTCACCTCACACTTGCACTAACACTGGAGAAACTTACTAGTGAGGTAGTCGTCTTCGTCAGCGCTGCCTACGGACACGAGTTCGCTGCCCAGCAAGTCGTTACAGGAGCCGTGGGCGGTGTCCCAGTCGGCGGTGGTCGGGGAGAGGTAGTAACAGTGGTTGTTCCAGTAGCTCCACCCGCTCGGGCACGTCACTGTTGGTACACAACACAAGGGGGCACGTCACTGTTGGTACACAACACAGGGGGCATGTCACTGTTGGTACACAACACAGGGGGCACGTCACTGTTGGTACACAATACAGGGGGCACGTCACTGTTGGTACACAACACAAGGGGCACGTCACTGTTGGTACACAACACAAGGGGCACGTCACTGTTGGTACACAACACAGGGGGCACGTCACTGTTGGTACACAACACAGGGGGCACGTCACTGTTGGTACACAACACAGGGGGGCACGTCACTGTTGGTACACAACACAGGGGGGCACGTCACTGTTGGTACACAACACAGGGGGGCACGTCACTGTTGGTACACAACACAGGGGGGCACGTCACTGTTGGTACACAACACAGGGGGCACGTCACTGTTGGTACACAACACAGGGGGCACGTCACTGTTGGTACACAACACAGGGGGGCACGTCACTGTTGGTACACAACACAGGGGGCACGTCACTGTTGGTACACAACGCAGGGGTATGTCACTGTTGGTACACAATACAGGGGGCACGTCACTGTTGGTACACAACACAGGGGGGCACGTCACTGTTGGTACACAACACAGGGGGGCACGTCACTGTTGGTACACAACACAAGGGGGCACGTCACTGTTGGTACACAACACAGGGGGGCACGTCACTGTTGGTACACAATACAGGGGGCACGTCACTGTTGGTACACAACACAGGGGGCACGTCACTGTTGGTACACAACACAGGGGGCACGTCACTGTTGGTACACAACACAGGGAGCACATCACTGTTGGTACACAACACAAGGGGGCACGTCACTGTTGGTACACAACACAGGGGGCACGTCACTGTTGGTACACAACACAGGGGGCACGTCACTGTTGGTACACAACACAGGGGGCATGGCAGAGTTGGTACACAACACAGGGGGCACGTCACTGTTGGTACACAACACAAGGGGGCACGTCACTGTTGGTACACAACACAGGGGGCACGTCACTGTTGGTACACAACACAGGGGGCACGTCACTGTTGGTACACAACACAGGGGGCATGGCAGAGTTGGTACACAACACAGGGGGCACGTCACTGTTGGTACACAACACAAGGGGGCACGTCACTGTTGGTACACAACACAGGGGGCACGTCACTGTTGGTACACAACACAGGGGGCACGTCACTGTTGGTACACAACACAGGGGGCACGTCACTGTTGGTACACAACACAGGGGGCACGTCACTGTTGGTACACAACACAGGGGGCACGTCACTGTTGGTACACAACACAAGGGGGCACGTCACTGTTGGTACACAACACAGGGGGCACGTCACTGTTGGTACACAACACAAGGGGGCACGTCACTGTTGGTACACAACACAGGGGGCACGTCACTGTTGGTACACAACACAGGGGGCACGTCACTGTTGGTACACAACACAGGGGGCATGGCAGAGTTGGTACACAACACAGGGGGCACGTCACTGTTGGTACACAACACAAGGGGGCACGTCACTGTTGGTACACAACACAGGGGGCACGTCACTGTTGGTACACAACACAGGGGGCACGTCACTGTTGGTACACAACACAGGGGGCATGGCAGAGTTGGTACACAACACAGGGGGCACGTCACTGTTGGTACACAACACAAGGGGGCACGTCACTGTTGGTACACAACACAGGGGGCACGTCACTGTTGGTACACAACACAGGGGGCACGTCACTGTTGGTACACAACACAGGGGGCACGTCACTGTTGGTACACAACACAGGGGGCACGTCACTGTTGGTACACAACACAGGGGGCACGTCACTGTTGGTACACAACACAAGGGGGCACGTCACTGTTGGTACACAACACAGGGGGCACGTCACTGTTGGTACACAACACAAGGGGGCACGTCACTGTTGGTACACAACACAGGGGGCACGTCACTGTTGGTACACAACACAGGGGGCACGTCACTGTTGGTACACAACACAGGGGGCACGTCACTGTTGGTACACAACACAGGGGGCACGTCACTGTTGGTACACAACACAGGGGGCATGGCAGATTTGGTACACAACACAGGGGGCACGTCACTGTTGGTACACAACACAGGGGGCACGTCACTGTTGGTACACAACACAGGGGGCACGTCACTGTTGGTACACAACACAGGGGGGCACGTCACTGTTGGTACACAACACAGGGGGCACGTCACTGTTGGTACACAACACAGGGGGGCACGTCACTGTTGGTACACAACACAGGGGGCACGTCACTGTTGGTACACAACACAGGGGGCACGTCACTGTTGGTACACAACACAGGGGGCACGTCACTGTTGGTACACAACACAAGGGGGCACGTCACTGTTGGTACACAACACAGGGGGCATGGCAGATTTGGTACACAACACAGGGGGCACGTCACTGTTGGTACACAACACAGGGGGCACGTCACTGTTGGTACACAACACAGGGGGCATGGCAGATTTGGTGTTGGGCATATGGTTGTGTTACTCTCTCTGGGTAGTACCACCAGCTTCATCCTCTTTATTCCTGACACTATCCTTCTGTTCCATCCTTCACTCACTGTCCTCCTGCCCCATCCTTCACTCACTATCCTCCTGCCCCATCCTTCACTCACTGTCCTCCTGCCCCATCCTTCACTCACTATCCTCCTGTCCCATCCTTCACTCACTGTCCTCCTGCCCCATCCTTCACTCACTATCCTCCTGCCCCATCCTTCACTCACTATCCTCCTGTCTCATCATTCACTCACTGTCCTGCTGCCCCATCCTTCCCTTACTATCCTCCTGCCCCATCCTTCACACTATCCTCCTGCCCCATCATTCACTCACTATCCTCCTGCCCCATCCCTCACTCACTGTCTTCCTGCCCCATCATTCACTCACTATCCTCCTGCCCCATCCTTCACTCACTATCCTCCTGCCCCATCCTTCACTCACTGTCCTCCTGCCCCATCCTTCACTCACTATCCTCCTGCCCCATCCTTCACTCACTATCCTCCTGCCTCATCCTTCACTCACTATCCTCCTGCCCCATCCTTCACTCACTATCCTCCTGCCCAATCCTTCACTCACTATCCTCCTGCCCCATCCTTCACTCATTATCTTCCTGCCCCATCCTTCACTCACTATCCTCCTGCCCCATCCTTCACTCACTATCCTCCTGCCCTATCCTTCACTCACTGTCTTCCTGCCCCATCCTCCTGCCCCCATCCTCCTGCCCCATCCTTCACTCACTATCCTCCTGCCCCATCCTACACTCACTATCCTCCTGCCCCATCCTTCACTCACTATCCTCCTGCCCTATCCTTCACTCACTGTCTTCCTGCCCCATCATTCACTCACTATCCTCCTGCCCCATCCCTCACTCACTGTCTTCCTGCCCCATCATTCACTCACTATCCTCCTGCCCCATCCTTCACTCACTATCCTCCTGCCCCATCCTTCACTCACTGTCCTCCTGCCCCATCCTTCACTCACTATCCTCCTGCCCCATCCTTCACTCACTATCCTCCTGCCACATCCTTCACTCACTATCCTCCTGCCCCATCCTTCACTCACTATCCTCCTGCCCAATCCTTCACTCACTATCCTCCTGCCCCATCCTTCACTCATTATCCTCCTGCCCCATCCTTCACTCACTATCCTCCTGCCCCATCCTTCACTCACTATCCTCCTGCTTTATCCTTCACTCACTGTCTTCCTGCCCCATCCACCTGCCCCATCCTCCTGCCCCCATCCTCCTGCCCCATCCTTCACTCACTATCCTCCTGCCCCATCCTACACTCACTATCCTCCTGCCCCATCCTTCACTCACTATCCTCCTGCCCTATCCTTCACTCACTGTCTTCCTGCCCCATCCTTCACTCACTATCCTCCTGCCCCATCCTTCACTCACTATCCTCCTGCCCCATCATTCACTCACTGTCACCCCATCATTCACTCACTATCACCCATCATTCACTCACTATCCTCCTGCCCCATCCTTCACTCACTATCCTCCTGCCCCATCCTTCACTCACTATCCTCCTGCCCCATCATTCACTCACTATCCTCCTGCCCTATCCTTCACTCACTATCCTCCTGTCCCATCCTGCACTCACTGTCCTCCTGCTCCATCCTGCACTCACTGTCCTCCTGTCCCATCCTTCACTCACTATCCTCCTGCCCCATCCTGCACTCACTGTCCTCCTGTCCCATCCTTCACTCGCTGTCCTCCTGTCCTATCCTTCACTCACTATCCTCCTGTCCCATCCTGCACTCACTGTCCTCCTGCCCCATCCTTCACTCACTATCCTCCTGTCCCATCCTTCACTCACTATCCTCCTGCCCCATCCCTCTAACTCACACTATCCTCCTCCTTACATCTGCGGTTAGGAGTGCTGGGGTGATAGTGAGTAATGATAAAGGATATTGAGTGATGGTGAGTAATGATTAAGGATGGTGAGTGATGCTGAGCAATGATAAAGGATGGTGAGTGATGGTGAGTAATGATGAAGGATGGTGAGTGATGGTGAGTAATGATAGAGGATAGTGAGTAATGATAGAGGATAGTGAGTAATGATAAAGGATGGTGAGTGATGGTGAGTAATGATGAAGGATGGTGAGTGATGGTGAGTAATGATAGAGGATAGTGAGTAATGATAAAGGATGGTGAGTGATGGTTGATAATGATGAAGGATGGTGAGTGATGGTGAGTAATGATAGAGGATAGTAATGATAAAGGATGGTGAGTGATGGTGAGTAATGATGAAGGATGGTGAGTGATGGTGAGTAATGATGAAGGATGGTGAGTGATGGTGAGTAATGATAGAGGATAGTGAGTAATGATAAAGGATGGTGACTGACCTTCAGGGGGCGGAGGTGGTTGGGGACCCACGTAGTTACGACCTGAAACACAAGCAAGACACAGCACGTCAGGAGAAGTCACCACAACACCCTCACCTGTCACCACAACACCCTCACCTGTCACCACAACACCCTCACCTGTCACCACAACACCCTCACCTGTCACCACAACACCCTCACCTGTCACCACAACACCCACACCTGTCACCACAACACCCTCACCTGTCACCACAACACCCTCACCTGTCACCACAACACCCTCACCTGTCACCACAACACCCTCACCTGTCACCACAACACCCTCACCTGTCACCACAACACCCTCACCTGTCACCACAACACCCTCACCTGTCACCACAACACACTCACCTGTCACCACAACACCCTCACCTGTCACCACAACACCCTCACCTGTCACCACAACACACTCACCTGTCACCACAACACCCTCACCTGTCACCACAACACCCTCACCTGTCACCACAACACCCTCACCTGTCACCACAACACCCACACCTGTCACCACAACACCCTCACCTGTCACCACAACACCCTCACCTGTCACCACAACACCCTCACCTGTCACCACAACACCCTCACCTGTCACCACAACACCCTCACCTGTCACCACAACACCCTCACCTGTCACCACAACACCCTCACCTGTCACCACAACACCCTCACCTGTCACCACAACACACTCACCTGTCACCACAACACCCTCACCTGTCACCACAACACCCTCACCTGTCACCACAACACCCTCACCTGTCACCACAACACCCTCACCTGTCACCACAACACCCTCACCTGTCACCACAAGTCCCTCACCTGTCACCACAACACCCTCACCTGTCACCTGTCACCACAACACCCTCACCTGTCACCACAACACCCTCACCTGTCACCACAACACTCACCTGTCACCACAACACTCACCTGTCACCACAACACCCTCACCTGTCACCACAACACTCACCTGTCACCACAACACCCTCACCTGTCACCACAACACTCACCTGTCACCACAACACCCTCACCTGTCACCACAACACCACCTGTCACCTCACCTGTCACCACAACACCCTCACCACACACACCCTCACCTGTCACCACAACACTCACCTGTCACCACAACACCCACCACAACACACTCACCTGTCACCACAACACCCTCACCTGTCACCACAACACCCTCACCTGTCACCACAACACCCTCACCTGTCACCACAACACCCTCACCTGTCACCACAACACCCTCACCTGTCACCACAACACCTCACCTCACCACAACACCCTCACCTGACACCACAACACACTCACCTGTCACCACAACACCCTCACCTGTCACCACAACACACTCACCTGACACCACAACACCCTCACCTGTCACCACAACACCCTCACCTGTCACCACAACACCCTCACCTGTCACCACAACACCCTCACCTGTCACCACAACACACTCACCTGTCACCACAACACACTCACCTGTCACCACAACACCCTCACCTGTCACCACAACACCCTCACCTGTCACCACAACACCCTCACCTGTCACCACAACACCCTCACCTGTCACCACAACACCCTCACCTGTCACCACAACACCCTCACCTGTCACCACAACACCCTCACCTGTCACCACAACACCCTCACCTGTCACCACAACACCCTCACCTGTCACCACAACACCCTCACCTGTCACCACAACACCCTCACCTGTCACCTGTCACCACAACACCCTCACCTGTCACCACAACACCCTCACCTGTCACCACAACACCCTCACCTGTCACCACAACACCCTCACCTGTCACCACAACACCCTCACCTGTCACCACAACACCCTCACCTGTCACCACAACACCTGTCACCACAACACCCTCACCTGTCACCACAACACCCTCACCTGTCACCACAACACCCTCACCTGTCACCACAACACCCTCACCTGTCACCACAACACCCTCACCTGTCACCACAACACACTCACCTGTCACCACAACACCCTCACCTGTCACCACAACACCCTCACCTGTCACCACAACACCCTCACCTGTCACCACAACACCCTCACCTGTCACCACAACACCCTCACCTGTCACCACAACACCACTCACCTGTCACCACAACACCCTCACCTGTCACCACAACACCCTCACCTGTCCACAACACACCTGTCACCACAACACCCTCACCTGTCACCACAACACCCTCACCTGTCACCACAACACCCTCACCTGTCACCACAACACCCTCACCTGTCACCACAACACCCTCACCTGTCACCACAACACCCTCACCTGTCACCACAACACACCTCACACCCTCACCTGTCACCACAACACCCTCACCTGTCACCACAATCACCTGTCACCACAACACTCACCTGTCACCACAACACCCTCACCTGTCACCACAACACTCACCTGTCACCACAACACCCTCACCTGTCACCACAACACTCACCTGTCACCACAACACCCTCACCTGTCACCACAACACCCTCACCTGTCACCACAACACCCTCACCTGTCACCACAACACTCACCTGTCACCACAACACCCTCACCTGACACCACAACACACTCACCTGTCACCACAACACCCTCACCTGTCACCACAACACCCTCACCTGTCACCACAACACCCTCACCTGACACCACAACACCCTCACCTGTCACCACAACACCCTCACCTGTCACCACAACACCCTCACCTGACACCACAACACCCTCACCTGTCACCACAACACCCTCACCTGACACCACAACACCCTCACCTGTCACCACAACACCCTCACCTGTCACCACAACACCCTCACCTGTCACCACAACACCCTCACCTGTCACCACAACACCCTCACCTGTCACCACAACACCCTCACCTGTCACCACAACACCCTCACCTGTCACCACAACACCCTCACCTGTCACCACAACACCCTCACCTGTCACCACAACACCCTCACCTGTCACCACAACACCCTCACCTGTCACCACAACACTGAACAACACCAATAGTTCCGTAGAGAGCTTACATGAGGTAGTTCCAATGTGGTACAATTGTACCATGTTTTATATTGTTGTTTTGTTCCATTAAACAACTGTGAAGGATAGTAGTGACCTCAGGTACTCCACAGGTGTTGTGACACTTTCCATGTTTCCTGCCCGCAGGTGTTGACAGGTGTTAGGTGGAGTTATAATGCCTCGTTACGTCACTTCTCGCCTGTCTCTCTACCCGTCCTCTCCAACAGTACGTCTGATTTTTGACGTATTAATCCCCATTCATCACAGCGGCTCACAAAATTGTAGGCTGTCCCGTTTTCTATTCGTTGTTCCGGGTCGGTTAGGTTAGGTTCGTGTGATTAGTTGTAGTACATTTTTAGAATTTTTTAGTACACTTTAGTACATCATTTTTGTGATGTTGTTACAACTGGAAAGGATGAGATGCTCAACCAATGACCTGCTATATGTACCCTTTGACCTGTTTAGCACCAATTAGTTTAGGATGCCCTGTACAAATGTATTTTTTGGGTAAACTCTTAAGTTTCAATATTTTGATCATTTTAGGTTTATCTCAGCGATGGTGTTGTGTCCGGCGGTCACCTGGATGGCAAAGGTACATTAACTCCTTCTAACACCCATTACTTTCCTGGGCTCGATTATGGGTCACAGTTGCAGATAAACCTATACTGACCAGTCACCTTTACTCTCAATGGTTAATTCTCTGCATCAAGTATCACAACATTCTATTAATAGGCACGCATATTCTCTCTCTCTCTCTCTCTCTCTCTCTCTCTCTCTCTCTCTCTCTCTCTCTCTCTCTCTCTCTCTCTGCACCTCAAGTACTTTGGAAAATATATCACTTACCTTTTTTCTCACATATAAATGCAAAACGGAGAGCGCAGTCGATGTCATTCCACTTGCCCGTGTCCGAGTACATCTCTGCAAGGTTACAAATGGGTTAGCACGCGTGTGTGTACTCATCTAGTTACCTATTTGTGCCTGCAGGATCGAGCTCTATCTCTAGGACCCCGCTTTTCTAGCCGTTGGTTGTGTAATGCAATGACTCCTGACCTATTTCCCTATCATACTTGCTTTTAAAGATACGAATGTAGTTAGCCTCTACAATCTGCTCCTTTAGGTCATTCCATTTACTCACTACCCGCACGCTAAAAAACTTTCAAACATCTCTATGACACATCTGAGCCTCAAGCTTCCATTCGTGTCCCCCCTTGTTCTATTCGTATTCATTGTAAACAATTCCTGTTTCCACCCTGTCAATCCTTCTAACTATTTATACGTCTGTATCATGTCCCCCCCTCTCCCTCCTCCTTTCTAACTTCATTAGGTTTAGTTCCTTCAGTCTCTCTTCGTACCTCATCCCTCGCAGCTCTGGGAAGAGTCTCGTTGCAAACTTCTGTACCTTTTCGAACTTCCTTATGTGTTTTTTAGATGGGGGCTCCAAGATAGGCGGTATATTCTATGACTGGCCACACATAGGCGATATTTATAGTGATCTAAAAGCCTCCTTATTCAGGTTCCTGAAGGATGTTCTGACTTTTGCCAGAGTAGAGTATGCGGCTGACGTTATTCTATCTATATGAGCCTCTGGAGTTAAGCTTGGTGTTATATCTACTAACAGGTCTTTTTCTCTAGACGTTATAGGGAGGTAGTTTCCCTTCATCTTGTATCGGCCTTTCGTTCTCCTGATCCCATTTTCTTCATCTTACACTTGCTGATGTTGAACTCTTGCAGCCATTTCTCGGACCAGCTCTGCAACCTGTTCAAGTCATCCTGGAGAATGTTGCAATCCTCATCTGTCTCACTTCTCCTCATTAGTTTTGCATCATCAGCAAACATTGACATATAAGACTCAACTCCTGCAGTCAAGTCATTTACATAAATGAGGAATAGTATGGGTCCCAGGACCGATCCTTTAGGCACCCCGCTTGTTACTCTACGCCAGTTCGACTCTTCGCCACCTTACTGTCACTCTCTGACACCTGTCTATCAGGTAATTCCTTACCCATGTTAATGCGTTGCCGTCTACTCCCCCCTGCCCCTCAATTTTTTATAGTGACCTCCTGCACGGTACTGTATCAAAGGCTTTTTGGCAGTCCATAAATATGCAATTTGCCCATCCTTCTCTGTCTTGTCTTATTTCCGCTACCTTACCATAAATCTCCAGGAGGTTCGTCAGGCATGATTTCCCCTTCCATAAAGCCATGTTGTTGTTTACTTACAAACCTAATCCTTTCTAGGGGTGCAACTAGTCTTAACCTTATAATTCTTTCAAGTACTTTGCAAGGGATCCTTGTGAGTGACACTGATCTGTGGTTAAATGCCTGTTCTCTATCTCCTTTCTTGTAGATTAGCACCACATGAGCCTTCTTCCAGCAGCGGGGCAAGGGACTCATCAAAGTCCTTTGCAAGAGATTTATTAAAGATTAGCACTAGAGGTATACTGAGGGCCTGTGCTGCTTTTTAACAGTCATAGTGATATTCTATCAGGCCCAATAGCTTTAGCTAAATTTTATGATGTATTCTTACTTCCTCCGCTGTTACCTCAGTATTTAGTAGTGTCTCATCAGGGGGCTGCTTCCTCATCTAGCTCTGGGAGGTGTTCAGGCTCTGTAGTGAACACTCCATGAAGGCTGGCATTGACCTCCTCACAAATTTCTTTATCATTTTCTGTATATCAATTCCTGTTACTATTTTGTATGTAGTGATCATATCACCTCTTTTTCTTCTGTCTTCTAATTTTGGCATATTTAATGCCTCTAACCTCTCCTCGTAGCTCTTGCCCTTCAGTTCTGGGAGCCACTTAGTAGCATGTCTTTGCACCTTTTCCAGTTTGTTGATGTGCTTCTTAAGATATGGGCACCACACAACCGCTGCATATTCTAGCTTTGGCCTAACAAAAGTCGTGAACAATTTCTTTAGTATATCGCCATCAATGTATTTAAAAGCAATTCTGCTTTTTTTTGTGTGTGTGTGCAACCCGTTCTCGCAAATTTAATAAGTCAATATTGACTTATTAAATATGTGCATAGGTGACATACTTAACATAATAGTTTCCCTTGAAAAGCTTAATAGAAAACACCGACCTTACCTAACCTACTTAGTATGTTAAGATAAGCATCTTATTGCTTCGTAATTACAATTATTACCTAACCTATACCTATAATAGGTTAAGTAACAATTGTAATTACGAAGCTATAAGATGCGTATTTTAACATACTAAGTAGGTTAGGTAAGGTCGGTGTTTTCTATGAAGCTTTTCAAGGGAAACTATTATGTTTAGTATGTCACCTATGCACGCAACTAATAAGTCAATATTGACTTATTAAATTTGCGAGAACGGGTTGCCACTTACCATCACAGTGAGACGGTCCACTTACCATCACAGTGAGACGGTCCACTTACCATCACAGTGAGACGGTCCACTTACCATCACAGTGAGACGGTCCACTTACCATCACAGTGAGACGGTCCACTTACCAACACAGTGAGACGGACCACTTACCATCACAGTGAGACGGGCCACTTACCATCACAGTGAGACGGGCCACTTACCATCACAGTGAGACGGGCCACTTACCATCACAGTGAGACGGGCCACTTACCATCACAGTGAGACGGGCCACTTACCATCACAGTGAGACGGGCCACTTACCATCACAGTGAGACGGGCCACTTACCATCACAGTGAGACGGGCCACTTACCACCACAGTGAGACGGGCCACTTACCATCACAGTGAGACGAGCCACTTACCATCACAGTGAGACGGGCCACTTACCATCACAGTGAGACGGGCCACTTACCATCACAGTGAGACGGGCCACTTACCATCACAGTGAGACGGGCCACTTACCATCACAGTGAGACGGACCACTTACCATCACAGTGAGACGGGCCACTTACCATCACAGTGAGACGGGCCACTTACCATCACAGTGAGACGGGCCACTTACCATCACAGTGAGACGGGCCACTTACCATCACAGTGGGACGGTCCACTTACCATCACAGTGAGACGGGCCACTTACCATCACAGTGAGACGGACCACTTACCATCACAGTGAGACGGGCCACTTACCGTCACAGTGAGACTGGCCACTTACCATCACAGTGAGACGGACCACTTACCAATACAGTTCTCTTCGTAATAATAGCTGCTGGGTTCACCGTCAGCCCAGTTGAAGTAAGCTCCGGGTGTTCCGTCCATCCATCTGTTGCCGTCAATGTCGTTCATCATGCCAATCCACAGCCCCGTCTGGCTCAGGTCCTGTCTAGCCACCAGGTCTGCAAGGTCCAGCCTCGTGTACATAGGAATTATTCCACAAACATGAGTCACTAAAATAGCTGAATTATTCGCTTGATATGAAGTGATGTTATTATGCCAGGAGGGGATATACCGTTCGTGCGGTGCCTGTTGGTTGGTTTGTGAACGTTACCTTTACTAAAGCAACCAACCACTTGGGCTGGATGGAAGAACAATGATCTCTCCTTCATGCAGGTCGGCGTTCAATCCCCGACCGTCCAAGTGGTTGGGCATCATTCCTTCCCCCGTCCCATCTCAAAGCCTTATCCTGATCTCTTCCAATTGCTATAGAGTCGTAATGGCTTGGCAATTTCCCCTAATAGTTCCCTGCCTTTACTACATCAATGTGTTCTCAGGTTTAACCCCGTTAGTAATTACGTAAATTCCGTTATTCATAATAAGAGTACAACAGTCACGTCCAAGTGTACGACATTGTCCTCACTAACACAGTAAACACAAGAGTGGAGAAGCAACTCACCGAAAACAAATGACTGCTCCTGTGAAGAGTAGAGGGAGACGAGGTCTGGCGAGGACTGTCCCTCGCCGTACCACTGCTCCAGACACACGGCGCGGGCGTCAGCGAAGGTCAGCTCCTCCAGCTCCAGGCGGTAACACTCCCCCGTCACCGGGTTCTCTGTCCAGTCCCAACCGCACGCTGAAGCTGTGGGCGGCGTGGAGGCGTCACACCAGTGTGGGAGCATGGTGTGGCGCCACACCTGGTGTGGTAGCATGTTGTGGCGCCACACCTGATATGGGAGCATGGTGTGGCGCCACACTTGGTGTGGTAGCGTGGTGTGGCGCCACACCTGGTGTGGGAGCATGGTGTGGCGGCTCACCTGGTGAGGGAGCATGGTGTGGCGCCACACCTGATGTGGGAGCATGGTGTGGCGCCACACCTGATATGGGAGCATGGTGTGGCGCCACACCTGATATGGGAGCATGATGTGGCGGCTCACCTGGTGTGGGAGCATGGTGTGGCGCCACACCTGGTGTGGGAGCATGGTGTGGCGCCACACCTGGTGTGGGAGCATGGTGTGGCGCCACACCTGTTGAGGGAACTTGTGGCGCCACACAGTGTGAGTTTGAAGTACAAAGTAGGAAACTATGAGGATGAATTTAGGTACTTTTTGGTTTTACTTTTGAATGAGGCATATGTTGGACAATTATTTTATTCACTGGTGAGTGAGTTCCATAAACTGGGTTCTTTCCATCCACCTGGGCTCTAGGAGACTCGAACCCTGGACCCCACGTGTGTGAGGCCGATACTCAATTGAATTGACCGAGCTATTGAGTAGTCTTAATAAGGAAAGTTTCCAGAAGCAGCATCCTGCTGCCAAACTGGAGTATTCGACTTTCCCCTGACTACTACTGAAGCTCAGAGGAATTAGTGATCCTCCCCCACTTTATATAAATTGTCATTCAGTAATTTTATTTACTACATCCTTTTATTTGCATGGAGTGTTTGCACAGATTTAATCTGATTTTGGGAATATGAAAGAAATATATATATTTCTTGTGTGGTGCTCATGGGGTTCTATTACGTCTATCAAGGAAAAGTTTCAGATCAAGATTAGCATTTAGGAACAATGTTTTGTACATGTAAATAGTATAAGAGAATGTGTGGAGTGAGTGAATGTTTAGCATGATAATGGATTTAAACAGAGGGGCTGTGTGTTGTCTAAAGACAGTGTTTATTATAGTTCTGATAGCAGATTTTTGCCGAGTAGTGATGGGCTTAAGGTAATATGCAGAGGTTGATGCCCATGCACAGACACCGTATGTAAGATTAGGATAGATAGTGCATAGTATGATAAGGAAAGCAGAGTCGGGAACATAATATCTTATTTTAGAAAGTATACTGAACGTTTTTGAGACTTTTTTGGGTTATGTATTGTATGTGGGTGCTGAAGTTGAGTCTCTTGTCTAAGTGTAGTCCAAGGAACTTTCAGTCATTTTTATTTCTAATGTTAACATTGTCTATCTGAAATTGAATTTGATTTGATAATTTGCTCCCAAATAAAATGTTCTGGATTTTTTCTATGTTTAGTGTGAGTTTGTTGGTTGACATCCATGAGTGGACTTTTGTTACGGTATCGACACCATCATTGGAGTGTGGAGTGGCAATTCCAACGCCATCTATGGATCTGCACTCCAACTTCTCTAGTATTGGACGATATGTAGACAACGCCATCTGGTGGTGGTGGCGTTGCAGTAGTGAATGACTCCGGTTTCCTGCCTTAGTTAGAAAGAGAGGTCGATGTGGATGACTTCTGGTGGGTGACGTATCAAGACCAGCACCATCTAGGTTGTAGCTACGAGCACAATTTCAACTCCCCGGTGAACAAGTGCTACCTCATGGTTTCCCCAGTGTACTGTACATCTAATTAATGACGTTTTTATGTCCACAGAAGTGGCATGTGGAGGCAGTGGTACTGAGGAAGGCAGTTACCTTGGGCAGTCCACGAACCCTTAGCTTTGTCCTGCAAAAAGACTAAGTAGCCGCCGTCGATCTAAGCAGTGTGTTAGCTGCTGGTATACGCAGTGTTGCAGATCGGCGTACCCGGGATTGGCTATTAAGGGTTACGGAAGATGGTGATGTGCCTATCGTGAAGTGCTGCTAGTAAGCTGCTAGAGGCTTCTGCCAGGGGGTTAGCTACCACTGTATAAGTTAGTTTGGGACCCCTGTCAGCATGTCGCTGAAGCCCTCTGCCAGTGAGTAGCTGGAGAGTGAAGGTGGGGTGTAGGCACATCTTGATACTGTGTGGATGGACTGGCCCATGTAGAAGGTGAACTCGCCAGTACGAGAGGACTAGGTACTGGGACTGTGAAATAACTGGAGTTGATGAACACTGCTAAAGTATTTGTGTCCTGCGTGAAAGAGATCACTATTGCACATAAGTGCAAATATTCTTAAATATTAATATATATTGGTGAAGGGAATTGAGTATCGCTTTTCCCCACCCCCCTCCTCCTTTATTTATGCATTGCGCTACTGCTTGACATAGCCAGTTTCTTGAAAGCCTACTACCGACTTGGGGTCGGATACACTAAGAAGTTATAACATCAAGAACCCAGTTACTGGCCCATAGCGGCCGTAACAAGTTTTTAAATTCATTATTTAATATTATTTAGTGTGTGTGTGGGTTGGGGTCAGAATATATGAAAGTAGTATCCTCAGCAAATAGTATAGGCTTAAGAATGTTAAAAGACATTTGACAAATCATTGATGTATATAAGAAATAGGAGAGGTCCTAAGATGCTGTCCTGTGGTACTCCTGCTGTTCATGGTAGAGTGGGGGAGGTTACGTTATTGATGGCTACATATTGGTGTCTGTCACCGAGATAGGAACGAATAAAGTTCAGAACAAGACCTCAGATACCAAAGTGGCGAAGTTTAAGAGGTATTTATGGTTTACAGTATCAAAGGCCTTTCTCAAATCAATGAAGAGGCCAATTGGGAACTCATTTTTGTCAAGGGCTGTGTAGATTATATTAAGCAGACTAATATTGGTATCATTGGTACTCTTTTGGAAACGGAAGCCAAACTGACATGGACATAATATATTGAGTTTTTCTAAGTAGGAATAGAGCTGTTTGAAAATAATTTGTTCTAAAATATTTGAAAGTATAGGTAGATGTGATATCGGTCTGTAATTGTTTTGAGCTGTCTCGCCTCCTTTATGAACTGGCGACACTCTTGCTTTTTTGAAGGATATCAGGAAAAGAATAACACCCTAGAGATTTGTTGAATAACAGAGCTATGGGTGATGCAAGAGCAGGGGCAGCACTCGTATATACCATAGATGGAATTTCATTAATGTTCCCAGCTTTGGTTTTAAGCGATTGAATGATGGACATAATATTTGTCGGGCTGACTGGTAAAAGGAGTAGAGAGTTAGGATAGCTGCCTGTGAGATATGTAGTAACATGTGTCTGGGTCTGGGGGATTTTTCTGGCAAGGTTACCACCAACTGATGAAAATAAACAAGTAAATTTAGATGCCGTTTGAAAGTCTGCTGCAACATCTGAAGAATAAGGTAATTTTCATTAAATTTTCTTTTTTTGTTACATGATTGTTGTTCATGATAAGTTGAAGCGTGAAGGAAGGTAAAGCAGGTGAGTGTAGAGGAGACTCACTGTCTGGCTGGGCTGTGGTGGTGGTGATGGTGCCGATGGGGGTGGTGGAGGCCGCCATCTTGCATGTGTACGGTAACGTTTGGTCGCAAGGAAAGTCGTTCCATTTGCCTGTATCTTCCAGCATCTGGACGCAGTTCTCGTTGCCAGAGGGTTCTCCTAGGTAATAATGTCTTCAGCATTAACTACAAAACATAATGACAGACGAAAGTGTTTCATATTCTTACTGGTATTCATCTTACTCACTAATCATACTCACACTCATTACCTCCTTATGTATTAATTCTTACCATAATGATTTAAATACTTACATTTGAATTATTAACGCTCATATATTTCCTTCAAAAAATAACAAATAATAATTTAATCAATATGCATTAATCATATAATTAAAATTCCAGTTAAGATCCCATTAGAGAAGGTAATTAAGATCATGGCCAGGAGACCAGAGTCATCAGCCACACACAGCAGGTGTCGTCACTTCACTCAAGAGACGTAACCAGTACTAACGTGGCCTGACATCCTTACCGACATTCCAGTTGGTGATCGTGAGGCTGGAACCGTCGCTCCAGCGCCAAGCGTCAGGAGACTGGCGTTCATTCAAGCCAAGCCAACTTCCCCCTCCCTGGCGGTCTGCAGGAGGAGGAAAGAACGTTCTCAAGTGTACTGTGTAGGTAAAGGTTAAGAATGCCCAGGAGGACATGTGTCAGTTCAATGTTCCACACTAGACAACATCACGAGGCTAAACAGCTCCTCATAAGAGGTGTACCCACCGTGTACAAAATCTTGTTCTGTCCAGGTGTGGATGGAGACGAGCTTGGCGTTTTGGGAGGAGCAGGCAGAGGAGGCGGCTGTCCACGTCATCTCTTGAGTGCTGAACAGGAAGCAGTGGTCGCCGTTCTGTTCCCAGCCATCTGGACAGTACCGTTCATCTGCGCCACAAACATATACCTTTACCACTTTGAATTACTCTTAAATAATGTTTGAATTACTCTTAAATAATATATATATATATATATATATATATATATATATATATATATATATATATATATATATATATATATATATATATATATATATATATATATATATATATACATATATATATATATATATATATATATATATATATATATACATATATATATAAATATATATACATATATATATATATATATATATACATATATATATATATATATATATATATATATATATATATATATATATATATATATATATATATATATATATATATATATATATATATACATATATATATACATATATATATATATATATATATATATATATATATATATATATATATATATATATATATATATATATATATATATATATATGTATATATATTTATATATATATGTATATATATATATATATATGTTGCGACCGGTGTTCGAAATCTGCAGGACTGCCACGATGATGATCGGCATATCCTTGATGCCCAAGGCCATTCTGTTCTCCAGGTTGACTCGTTTACTCGTCCCCCTCGTGGTTGTCGCCGTCAACCCCTTCGGGTTGTGAAGATTACCTTTGATGGTAGGACCCTTCCATCCTCTGTCATTCTTGCAGGTGCCAGGTGCTCTGTCCAGTACATTCCTTCTCATAGGCTTTGTAACAAGTGCTGGAGGTTTGGGCATGGTGCCCTCCTCTGCTCTGGGACTGACTCTCTCTGTCCTTTGTGTGGGGACGAAAGTCACTCTAAGTCGGAGTGCACTTCTCCCCAGGTTTGCTGCCTCAACTGCAGTGAGGCCCATCCTACCTTCTCCCGTGCCTGTATCCATTACAAGCTTGAGGCAGCCGTCCTCAACTTGAAGCACTGGGAGCGTTTATCTTTTCCTGAGGCGAGGCGCCAGATTCACCGGCTCCCGCCTAATGCTAACGTCTCTTATGCTCGCGAGTTGTGCTCTTCCTCTCCTTGTCCTTCCCACCTTCCTCAGACCCACAACCGTTTCCGGGCCTTGGACCCTGATACGCCCACTGCCCCCTCCTCTGTTCCCTTGAGTTCTGTCCCGAAGGATCCCCCTCCTGGTCCTCTATCTGGGGTTCCCCTTCTTTCTGCCCGGTCTGTCGTGACTCCTGTGTCTTCTTCCTCGTCTCTTTCCGATCCTCCTTCCCATCCTTCTCCTCCATCTGTTGACTCTCCCCGCCGCCTGTCAGTGCAGGCTGATGTCCATCGCTCTCCTACCGGCCGTCGTGTGTGCTCTCGTTCAGCTTCTCCTGTTGAGACACTGGAATCCGTTGCCCAGTACGTAGTTGCTGGGACACCAGTCTCTTTAAGTCAGAAGCGTAAGCCTGAATCCTCTCTTTCCTCTTCCCCGGTGGATAAGAAGGCTTCGCTTTCTTCCTCGGCCCCTACTTCTGATTCTATCGCCCCTTCCCCTCCCATTTCGGTGGTTGCGCCCCCTGTTCCTGCTATGGAGGTTTCTTTGGCCCCCACTTCCCTCTCGGTTGTTGCCCTTGCTGCGGTGCACTCCCCTCTTTCTACTCCACCTCTTCCTGCTACTGTCCTTGACTACTCCTCTCGGTAGCCTCCTCCTCTTCCTCCTCCTCCGGACCCCACCTGTCCACCTCTGGCCTGTTCTCCTGCTTTCTTCCCTCCGTCTTTGCTCAGTTTACCCATGCCCCCTAACCCTGACTTTGCTGACCCTGATCTTGACCTTGATCTTCTTTAACGTGCTATGTTGCTCTTTTGCCTTTGTTTCTTCCTTGTTCTCTGTCGTTGTCCTTTCTCTTCTCTTCTCTTCGATGTCTATTCTTCAATGGAACGTTCGGGGTTATTATGCCAATTTCCTTGAACTCCAATTTCTGATTTTGCGATTTTCACCCCTTTGTGTCTGTCTCCAGGAGCCGATGCTTGGTGCTCGTCCTGGTCGCTTTCGTGGCTATTCCTTTCTCCCCCCCCCCCTCTTAACTCTTCTGCTCTCTTGATTCGCTCTGATGTTCCCTTTGTCCCCTTACTTTTTCCTTCGCCTCTCCATTGTTCTGCTGCTCGTATCTTTGTGGGGAAATGGTACACTGTTTGTTCCATTTATCTTCCCCCGAGTGTCCCGCTTTCTCTTCCTGATCTGAAACACTTACTGGACTCCTTGCCTGAGCCTGTGCTCCTGCTAGGTGATTTCAATTGTCGTCATTCCCTTTGGGGTGATATTCTGACGAACACCCGGGGTCGCCTTCTTGAGCCGTTTATCCTCTCTTCTTCCCTGTCTCTTCTGAATTCTGGTGAGCCCACGCATTTGGACTCTCAGACTCGCACCCTTTCCTGTCTTGATCTTTCTCTTTGCTCGTCTTCTCTTTACTTAGATTTCACGTGGCAGGTTCTTGATGACTTCCATGGCAGTGACCATTTCCCCATCCTTTTACATTTTTCTCTTTTCGCCCTCCCCTCTCCTTCCCTAGGAGGCAGTTTGCGAAACCGGACTGGAACCTCTTTACCCTCAGTGCTACTCTGACCTCTCCCTTCTGCCTCTCCCTCGCTCTCTCCTCCTTTTTCATGACACTGTCTTCGATGCTGCCTTCCGCTCTATTCCTCGCTCTTCCTCTCGGGGTCCACGAAAGTGCGTTCCCTGGTGGAATGCAGACTGTGCTCGGCCTGTCCGCTGTAAGCGTGCAGCCTGGAAGAGACACCGCCGTCGGCAGACGGCCGATTCTTTTCTTTCGGAAGGCAGGTGAGGTGGCCCGTAGGGCCATCCGTACGGCTAAACGTGAATGTTGGGCATTTTAAGTTTCCACCATTACGTCCGAAACTCCTCTGCCACAGATCTGGAAGCGTATCCACAAGATAGTGGGTAAGTTCGTTCCCGATGTTGCACCGGTCCTTCACCTCCATGGTACTCTTGTGGCGGACCTGTTGCAGGTCGCTACCAAACTGGGTTCCCACTTTTCTTCTGTTAGCTTTGGTCTTCATCTTCCTCAATCTTTCCTTCTTCGTAAACCTGTCCTTGTGTCTCGTCCTTTAGATTTCTGCACTCATCTTCGACTTCCCTATAACGATCCCTTCTCTCTCTCTGAACTTCGTTCTGCCCTGGCCCTCTGCGGTTCTACGGCGGCGGGCTCCGATGGTATTCATTATGAGATGCTTCGCCATCTCCCTCCGTGCACGTCTCAGTATTTACTGAGTCTGTATAATCGGATCTGGGAGTTGTCGTCAGTCCCTGAGGACTGGCTCGATGCCGTTGTCCTCCCTGTATGCAAACCAGGGTCTCTGGGAACATCCCCTAAGGACTTTCGCCCTATTGCCCTCACAAGTTGTGTCTGCAAACTCTTTGAACGTATGGTTAACGTTCGTCTGATGTGGTTCCTGGAACACCATTACTTCCTCTCCCCATTTCAATTTGGTTTCCGCAAGTTCCGCACGACAGATGTCCTGGTGAACTTGGTCTATATTCGTACTGCTTTTGCTGCGAAGACCTCCGTTGTTGCCGTCCTTTTTGACCTGGAAAGACTTACGACACCACTTGGCGATATCATATTCTATCCCAGCTTCATTCTTTTTGCCTTTCGTGTCATCTCCCTCTCTTTCTCCGCAGCTTCCTCTCTCGTCGTTCCTTTTGGGTGCAGCTTGGTACCGCTCTCTCTGCCTCTTTTCAGCAATACGAAGGTGTGCCCCAGGGTAGTGTTCTGAGCACTACTATTTTTCTGGTTGCCATCAATAGTCTTCTTTCCTCTCTTCCTTCAGGCGTCTTCTCCGCTCTATACGTCGATGATCTTACTCTTTGCTGTCAGGGTGATGACTCTCCTCTCTTTTGACGCCGGCTTCAACTTGCGATTGATGCCGTGTCGTCTTGAGCCACCGATCATGGCTTCAAGTTCTCTACTACTAAGGCTTGTGCCATGACTTTTACTCGGAAACGGGTCGTTCTTCGTCCCTCTTTGTCACTTTATGGTCATCCCCTTGAGTACAAAGATTCCGCGAAGCTTTTGGGGTTATTCCTTGACACTCGTTTGTCTTGGTCTCTCCATATCTCTTACCTCCGTGTTGAGTGCTCTAAGGCCCTTGCCCTCCTTCGGGTATTGTCCCATACTTCTTGGGGAGTGGATAGGCGCACTCTTCTTGCTTTACATTCCTCTCTCGTCCTGTCTAAGCTCGATTATGGTTGCCCTGCTTACTTGTCTGCTTCTCCTTCTACTCTTCGCCGTCTTGATGCTTTGCACCATACTGGGTTGCGCCTCAGTTCTGGTGCCTTTCGTTCGACTCCCGTCCTCAGCTTGTATGTTGACACTGGCTTCCTGTCTCTCCAGGACCGCCGTGATCGCTATTGTCTTCGCTATCTTGCGACAAACCACACGGCACCTCGGATGCATTTCCGACGATTCCTTTCAAATAAAAGGGGTGGCGCCGAGGAAAATAAGACTCGCGTCCCTACCAAAAACACTACTGTCTTCGCTATCTTGCGTGGTCCTTGCAACATCCCTCCTCTCGCCTCTGTCGTGCTTTAAATTTTACCCCTCCTGCGGTTCCTGTTCCTCTTCACCACCTCCCTCTTTCTGTCCGGTTATCTCGCTTACAGGCTTCTCTTTCCGTTCGTATTTCTAATGTTTCTCCTCGTGTAGTTCCTTCTTTGCCCCCGTGGAGAGTCCCCTTTCCACAGTTTTGTACATTCTTGACCCGCATCACTAAAGCTTTTACCCCTCCTATGGTTCTAAAACGCCTTTTCCTTGAGCACTTTTCTTCTCACTCCCGCTCCGTTTCCGTCTTCACCGATGGGTCTAAGTCTGCGGACGGTGTTGGCTACTCTGTTGTTTTTCCTGATCGCACTTATATGTGTCGCTTGCCTCCGGAGACAGCTCCGCTGTCTTCACAGTGGAGTTTTATGCTATTCTCTATGCTCTTCGTCTCATGCTTTCTCATTGTCAGTCTTCCTTTGTGGTTGTTGTTGACTCTCGTAGTGCCCTCATGGCTCTCGGGTCCTTTAATCCGGTTCTTCCAGTAGTTGTCGAGATCCAGCATTGGCTGTTTCTTGTTCACAGTAAATTTAAATTGGTTGAGTTTTGTTGGGTTCCCAGCCATATTGGTGTTTCTTTAAATGAGCGTACGGATGCTGCCGCCAGGGAAGCCGTCCGCTCTTGTCACATCTCTCGTAAAGGTATTCCTTATTCCGACTTTTACCAGGTTATCCATTCCTCAGTCCTTACCCGTTGGCAGGCTTGTTGGTCGTCTGTTACTGGTAACAAACTACGTTCTCTTTAAGGTTGTGTCCTCGTGGAAAGCCTCCTGCCACCGTAACCGGCGATGGGAAACGGCTCTGGCGAAGTTGCGTATCACTTGATGGAGTTGGTCACTTGATGGAGCACCGCCCTGCTACTTATTGTCTTAATTGCATTGTCCCTCTTACGGTCGTGCATGTTCTTCTTGAATGTCCTGACTTCCAGGACGAGCATGTGTCTTGTTTCCCGACCGCCCCTCACGGTCACCTGTCCCTCAATAGAATTCTTGGTGACTCAGATACTTTTGATATCATTCGCCTTATGCGTTTTTGTTCTCGTATTGGCATCCTTGGTGATATTTAGCGGCCTCTGATTATTCTGCACATTTGATGGTGCTACATAGCCTTCCCGGTTTGGTGCCTTCTATTGATAATTACTTACAACCGCAGTCCTCCCACCCATTCCCCCCTCCCCTGTCCCCTCGTCCCCCCAATTATACCCTATTCCCCTGGAATACACGTGGACCGATGGTACAATCATGAACCTAGTACAGAAACCATAATACCTCCAATAAAACTATATTACAAATCAACCATGCACAGTGATCATAAAAAGAAGAAAGAATAATGAAAGAAATAATCCGTAAAGGAGTAAAAAGCATTACACCTAACCAAAATATAGACCTGATCATATTCTACAAAACAAAGAAGACTACCGACCTCCTTATCAAAAAAGGCCGAAGCCGACGGAGAACCCTCTACAGCAGTCAAGCGTTGTATACATGTACACTTGCCCCCATGAAGGATGTAACCTTCAATCTAAGTACATAGGTATGACGTCGACCAAGCTGACGAGGCGTTTGACCTGTCATCTTCAATCCGGTGCCCCCAGAAATCCCATGAGAGAAGCCTATGACATCACCCTAACAAGAAAAATGTTGAATAAAAATACTTGAATAAAAGACAAAACCCAAGATGTAAGAAGATTACAAATTCTTGAAGCAATTCATATAAAAATAGAACAACCTACCATGAATACCCAAATTTCGGAACTATTTACTCTACCCACCATGAGAGTAAGAACAAGACGGGAACATAACGATGCCAACACAGAAGACACTGCTTAACATAATAGGCCTATTACATCTAATTAATCATTGTATGTGCCCCTATTTATCCCCTTATTCCACTTATGTTTTCACCTAGCTCCGTACTGGTATAAATCTACCGAGAGTTGTAGTTTATCACTTGAGAATGAACCATGTAGGTTCGAAACATCGTGCGATTTTATAATAAGTGCAATATATTCTTCAGTTATTCACTCCCTTTTCTTCACACTGAAAACGAACATGACTTTTGATGAACTCCTCTTCCAGCCAATCCCTGATGCTAGAAGACTAGTAAGAGGGATAGAAGCCCGAAATCAGAAAATAGTTAATACGGAATATGCTGTCATATTTAATGAACACCTTCCTTACAAATTTTGGTTCCGTGGAAATGAGACGGAACCAACAGGCGCAAGTTGGGCAACCAACTTGCTATTACAGTACCTCAGTGTGGCAATCAAGAGAGTAAATGCCCAGTGTATCCTTGACTCTTGCCAGCGATCTAGGTAGTTCGAAGAACTTTAATGTCTATGAAATATTTCATTATAACTAATGTTTTATATAATTAAGATAAACAGACGTTGGGATGATAGACGAAGGCAATGTAGTGCATACACATGGAAGCCTTCAGTGCTCCTTCGAATCCCTCTGGGGATAAGAGTGCTTATTATTCCAACCGAGATGGTGCCCTATATATACAGTATATATATGTGCACCAAGGGTGAGGGACCTCACCAGACGTACCAAGGGTGAGGGACCTCACCAGACGTACCAAGGGTGAGGGACCTCACAAGACGTACCAAGGATGAGGGACCTCAATAGACGTACCTAGGGTGAGGGACCTCACCAGACGTGCCAAGGGTGAGGGACCTCACCAGACGTACCAAGGGTGAGGGACCTCACCAGACGTACCAAGGGTGAGGGACCTCACAAGACGTACCAAGGATGAGGGACCTCACCAGACGTACCAAGGGTGAGGGACCTCACCAGACGTACCAAGGGTGAGGACCTCACCAGACGTGCCAAGGGTGAGGGACCTCACAAGACGTACCAAGGATGAGGGACCTCACCAGACGTACCTAGGGTGAGGGACCTCACCAGACGTGCCAAGGGTGAGGGACCTCACCAGACGTGCCAAGGGTGAGGGACCTCACAAGACGTACCAAGGATGAGGGACCTCAATAGACGTACCTAGGGTGAGGGACCTCACCAGACGTGCCAAGGGTGAGGGACCTCACCAGACGTACCAAGGGTGAGGGACCTCACCAGACGTACCAAGGGTGAGGGACCTCACCAGACGTACCAAGGGTGAGGGACCTCACCAGACGTACCAAGGGTGAGGGACCTCACCAGACGTGCCAAGGGTGAGGGACCTCACCAGACGTGCCAAGGGTGAGGGACCTCACAAGACGTACCAAGGATGAGGGACCTCACCAGACGTACCTAGGGTGAGGGACCTCACCAGACGTGCCAAGGGTGAGGGACCTCACCAGAGGTACCAAGGGTGAGGGACCTCACCAGACGTACCAAGGGTGAGGGACCTCACCAGACGTACCAAGGGTGAGGGACCTCACCAGACGTACCAAGGGTGAGGGACCTCACCAGACGTACCAAGGGTGAGGGACCTCACCAGACGTACCAAGGGTGAGGGACCTCACCAGACGTACCAAGGGTGAGGGACCTCACCAGACGTACCTAGGGTGAGGGACCTCACCAGACGTACCAAGGATGAGGGACCTCACAAGACGTACCAAGGGTGAGGGACCTCACAAGACGTACCAAGGACGCAGGACTCACCAGAGGCACCAAGGACGCAGGACTCACCAGAGGCACCAAGGACGCAGGACTCACCAGAGGCACCAAGGATGCAGGACTCACCAGAGGCACCAAGGATGAGGACCTCACCAGAGGCACCAAGGATGCAGGACTCACCAGAGGCACCAAGGATGAGGACCTCACCAGAGGCACCAAGGATGCAGGACTCACCAGAGGCACCAAGGATGAGGACCTCACCAGAGGCACCAAGGATGCAGGACTCAACAGAGGCACCAAGGACGCAGGACTCACCAGAGGCACCAAGGATGCAGGACTCAACAGAGGCACCAAGGACGCAGGACTCACCAGAGGCACCAAGGATGAGGACCTCACCAGAGGCACCAAGGATGCAGGACTCACCAGAGGCACCAAGGATGAGGACCTCACCAGAGGCACCAAGGATGCAGGACTCAACAGAGGCACCAAGGACGCAGGACTCACCAGAAGCACCAAGGATGCAGGACTCAACAGAGGCACCAAGGACGCAGGACTCACCAGAGGCACCAAGGATGCAGGACTCAACAGAGGCACCAAGGACGCAGGACTCACCAGAGGCAACAAGGATGAGGACCTCACCAGAGGCACCAAGGATGCAGGACTCACCAGAGGCACCAAGGATGCAGGACTCACCAGAGGCACCAAGGATGCAGGACTCAACAGAGGCACCAAGGATGCAGGACTCATCAGAGGCACCAAGGATGCAGGACTCACCAGAGGCACCAAGGATGCAGGACTCACCAGAGGCACCATGGATGCAGGACTCACCAGAGGCACCAAGGATGCAGGACTCACCAGAGGCACCAAGGATGCAGGACTCACCAGAGGCACCAAGGATGAGGACCTCACCAGAGGCACCATGGATGCAGGACTCACCAGAGGCACCAAGGATGCAGGACTCACCAGAGGCACCAAGGATGCAGGACTCACCAGAGGCACCAAGGATGCAGGACTCACCAGAGGCACCAAGGATGCAGGACTCACCAGAGGCACCAAGGATGCAGGACTCACCAGAGGCACCAAGGATGAGGACCTCACCAGAGGCACCATGGATGCAGGACTCACCAGAGGCATCAAGGATGCAGGACTCACCAGAGGCACCAAGGATGCAGGACTCACCAGAGGCACCAAGGATGCAGGACTCACCAGAGGCACCAAGGATGCAGGACTCACCAGAGGCACCATGGATGCAGGACTCACCAGAGGGAGGGATGAGGATGACAGGGGTGCCAGCTGGCACCTCGCAGGCGTAGTGCCGAGGGACGAGACAGTCAGTTGGCACCCAGGACGACGTCGGGATAGTCAGCGCCGACTCTGCTCACACAAAACATTTATTTAAGCCATTATCTTATTACTGAATCAATAAATAATTTTAAGAATCAATAGGTTTAATATTCAGCAAATTAAGACGACACTTGTTTAATAAGATGCTTTTGTTGGATAAATTTTAAGGAGTGTTATCTCAGTCTTACTCACTCACTCACTCACTCACTCACTCACTCACTCACTCACTCACCACCAATCTCAAAGAAGACACATTGTTGATCCTGCGCACTGAGAGCGTCAGTTCTGTCTTGAGCCGTCATCTTGGTGAAGTTCTTACTGTCCATAGTAGTCCCATCCGTCCAGTAGATGTTGTCACCCGGTTTACCTGTCCAAATCCAAATTACCTGTCTATTTACCAATCCACATTTCAGAGAAAGTTGTGTAAATGTTAATGTTCTTTCTTTAAGTGTAAGACACTTTAGTGTGAAGGTCTTCCTTATTCCTTACACGAGACAAAGTAATGAGGACTATGGCATATATCAGCCAAAGAAATGGCAGATATATCGTGCCAAAGATGGGACTATATCTTTGTGGTTACCACTAAGTGAGTATTATCCTGGCAGTGACCTTATCAAGCCGAGTGATCAACCCACTAAATTATATAATGACTCACTGTAAAGACCAATCCAGAGCTGGTCTGACTCCGGGATGTGGCTATAGAAGAAGGCGTCCTCCTGCTCAGTGTCGAGGACGACCAGGGCGGCGCCGACGGCTTCGCAGGTACTCTTGGCGTCCTGCCACACCACCAGGTCCTCCACCTCCGTGTTGAAGTAGTAGCAGGAGTTCTCGAACACCTCCCAGCCCGGCAGACACGCGCCTGTGCTCACACCAATGTTCCGTTATGGTTGGGTCCTCGGGAAGTGTGTATGTGTGTGTTCACGCGAGCGAAGGAGGTCGGTACTAGCACTTAACTCAGAGTAATGATTCTAGTTGTTGGAAACAGACGAGAGCAAACTCCCAGAATCAAGCTGATAGTACAACTATGCCAGCACCAACTTCTATACCATATCAAGCCAGCACAACTTCAATACCAAATCAAGCCAGCCCCAACTTCCATACCACATCAAGCCAGCACCACCTTCTATACCACATCAAGCCTGCACCACCTTCTATACCACATCAAGCCAGTACCAACTTTTAACCAACATGAAGCCAGCACCATCTTCTGTACCACATCAAGCCAACATCTCCTACTATACCACATCAAGCCAGCACCAACTTCTATACCACATCAAGCCAGCACCAACTTCTATACCACATCAAGCCAGCACCAACTTCTATACCACATCAAGCCAGCACCAACTTCTATACCACATCAAGCCAGCACCAACTTCTATACCACATCAAGCCAGCACTACCAACTATACCACATCAAGCCAGCACCACCTTCTATACCACATCAAGCCAGCACCACCTTCTATACCACATCAAGCCAGCACCACCCTCTATACCACATCAAGCCAGCACCACCTTCTATACCACATCAAGCCAGCACCACTTCCTATGCCACATCATGCCAGCACCACCTACTATACCACATCAAGCCAGCACCACCTTCTATACCACATCAAGCCAGCACCACCCTCTATACCACATCAAGCCAGCACCACCTTCTATACCACATCAAGCCAGCACCACTTCCTATACCACATCAAGCCAGCACCACCTTCTATACCACATCAAGCCAGCACCACCCTCTATACCACATCAAGCCAGCACCACCTTCAATATCATATGAAGCCAGCACCACCTTCTATACCACATCAAGCCAGCACCACCCTCTATACCACATCAAGCCAGCACCACCTTCTATACCACATGAAGCCAGCACCACCTATACCACATCAAGCCAGCACCACCTTCTATACCACATCAAGCCAGCACCACCTTCAATATCATATGAAGCCAGCACCACCTTCTGTACCACTTAAAGCCAGCACCACCTACTATACCACATCAAGTCAGCACCACCTTCTATACCACATAAAGCCAGTACCACCTTCTATACCATATGAAGCCAGCCTCACCTTCTATACCACATGAAGCCAGCACCACGTTCTATACCACATGAAGCCAGCACCTCATATACCACATCAAGCCAGCACCACCTACTATACCACATCAAGCCAGCACCATCTTCTATACCACGTCAAGCCAGCACCACCTTCTATACCACATCAAGTCAGAACCACCCTCTATACCACATCAAGCCAGAACCACCCTCTATACCACATCAAGCCAGAACCACCTTCTATACCACATCAAACTAGCACCACCTTCTATACCACATCAAGCCAGCACCACTTCCTATACCAAATCAAGCCAGCACCACTTCCTATACTACACCATGCCAGCACCACTTCCTATAACACATCAAGCCAGCACCAATTCCTATACCACATCAAGCCAGCACCATCTACTATACCACATCAGAACAAGACTCCGTTCCAATATAGAAGCATCAAGAAATATGGACCAATAGGCTTTCTACAATCACTTCCATTCAATACCCATTGTTTCTTGTTCTGTCTTGTGTTTAGGAATTTAATACCCTATTAATACCACCTCACCCCATCCACCTCACTCAAATGTAGATATAAACAAATCGAAGATGTGTAAGTTCTATTCAGTTGTGTATGTGTAAACTAAAGTCTTTGAAAATGTAATAAGTTTTACGAAACGCGCTCAAGTGTCGCGTCAGACTAGAAATAAAAATGAATTTTGGAGAATTGATTTTTGAATTACCACCAACAGTGAAAAGAAACGTACGAAAGATCGAGAAAATTTGTGTTAGAATTATTAATCTTACTTTTTCGGTCATATATAATATATATATATATATATATATATATATATATATATATATATATATATATATATATATATATATATATATGTCGTACCTAGTAGCCAGAACGCACTTCTCGGCCTACTATGCAAGGCCCGATTTGCCTAATAAGCCAAGTTTTCTTGAATTATTTGTTTTTCGACTACCTAACCTACCTAACCTAACCTAACCTAACTTTTTCGGTTACCTAACCTAACCTAACTTATAAAGATAGGTTAGGTTAGGTAGGATTGGTTAGGTTCGGTCATATATCTACGTTAATTTTAACTCCAATAAAATAAAATTGACCTCATACATAATGAAATGGGTAGCTTTATCATTTCATAAGAAAAAAATTAGAAAAAATATATTAATTCAGGAAAACTTGGCTTATTAGGCAAATCGGGCCTTGAATAGTAGGCCAAAAAGTGAGTTCTGGCTACTAGGTACGACATATATATATATATATATATATATATATATATATATATATATATATATATATATATATATATATATATATATATATATATATATATATATATATATATAAGGTGAAAACATGGGGGGATACATAAGGGATAAATGGGGGGTGAAACATAAGAATAGAGGTAACTGCAGAAGGCTTATTGGCCCATACGAGGCAGCTCCTATCTACATACAAAGATTAATCCAGTGTAATTGGCCTGTTATGTTGAACATTGTCTTCTGTGTTAGCATCGTTATGTTCTGGTCTTGTCCTTACTCTCATGGTGGGTAGAGTAAATAGTTCCGTGATTTGGGTGTTCATGGTAGGTTGTTCTATTCTTATGTGAATTGCTTCAAGAATTTGTAATCTTCTTGCATCTTGAGTTTTGTCTATTATACAGGTATTCTTGTTCAACATTTCTCTTGTTAACAAGAGAAATGATTTGGGTGATCATGTTAGGTTGTTCTATTCTTATGTGAATTGCTTCAAGAATTTGTAATCTTCTTGCATCATATATATATATATATATATATATATATATATATATATATATATATATATATATATATATATATATATATATATATATATATATATATATATGCGAACAAGCCTGAATGGTCCCCAGGACAATATGCAACTGAAAACTCACACCCCAGAAGTGACTCGAACCCATACTCCCAGGAGCAACGCAACTGGTATGTACAAGACGCCTTAATCCACTTGACCATCACGACCGGACAGAATGAGGTGATAGCCGAGGCTATTTGAACCACCCCACCGCCGGCACTCGGATAGTAATCTTGGGCATAGCATTTTACCAAATCACCTCATTCTTTGGGGCACACGTGAGGAACACAAATGCGAACAAGCCTGAATGGTCCCCAGGACAATATGCAACTGAAAACTCACACCCCAGAAGTGACTCGAACCCATACTCCCAGGAGCAACGCAACTGGTATGTACAAGACGCCTTAATCCACTTGACCATCACGACCGGACAGAATGAGGTGATAGCCGAGGCTATTTGAACCACCCCACCGCCGGCACTCGGATAGTAATCTTGGGCATAGCATTTTACCAAATCACCTCATTCTTTGGGGCACACGTGAGGAACACAAATGCGAACAAGCCTGAATGGTCCCCAGGACAATATGCAACTGAAAACTCACACCCCAGAAGTGACTCGAACCCATACTCCCAGGAGCAACGCAACTGGTATGACCAAGACGCGTTAATCCACTTGACCATCACGACCGGACATAATGAGGTGATAGCCGAGGCTATTTGAACCACCCCACCGCCGGCACTCGGATAGTAATCTTGGGCATAGCATTTTACCAAATCACCTCATTCTTTGGGGCACACGTGAGGAACACAAATGCGAACAAGCCTGAATGGTCCCCAGGACAATATGCAACTGAAAACTCACACCCCAGAAGTGACTTGAACCCATACTCCCAGGAGCAACGCAACTGGTATGTACAAGACGCCTTAATCCACTTGACCATCACGACCGGACAGAATGAGGTGATAGCCGAGGCTATTTGAACCACCCCACCGCCGGCACTCGGATAGTAATCTTGGGCATAGCATTTTACCAAATCACCTCATTCTTTGGGGCACACGTGAGGAACACAAATGCGAACAAGCCTGAATGGTCCCCAGGACAATATGCAACTGAAAACTCACACCCCAGAAGTGACTCGAACCCATACTCCCAGGAGCAACGCAACTAGTATGTACAAGACGCCTTAATCCACTTGACCATCACGCCCGGACAGAATGAGGTGATAGCCGAGGCTATTTGAACCACCCCACCGCCGGCACTCGGATAGTAATCTTGGGCATAGCATTTTACCAAATCACCTCATTCTTTGGGGCACACGTGAGGAACACAAATGCGAACAAGCCTGAATGGTCCCCAGGACAATATGCAACTGAAAACTCACACCCCAGAAGTGACTCGATAGCCTCGGCTATCACCTCATTCTGTCCGGTCGTGATGGTCAAGTGGATTAAGGCGTCTTGTACATACCAGTTGCGTTGCTCCTGGGAGTATGGGTTCGAGTCACTTCTGGGGGTGTGAGTTTTCAGTTGCATATTGTCCTGGGGACCATTCAGGCTTGTTCGCATTTGTGTTCCTCACGTGTGCCCCAAAGAATGAGGTGATTTGGTAAAATGCTATGCCCAAGATTACTATCCGAGTGCCGGCGGTGGGGTGGTTCAAATAGCCTCGGCTATCACCTCATTCTGTCCGGTCGTGATGGTCAAGTGGATTAAGGCGTCTTGTACATACCAGTTGCGTTGCTCCTGGGAGTATGGGTTTGAGTCACTTCTGGGGTGTGAGTTTTCAGTTGCATATTGTCCTGGGGACCATTCAGGCTTGTTCGCATTTGTGTTCCTCACGTGTGCCCCAAAGAATGAGGTGATTTGGTAAAATGCTATGCCCAAGATTACTATCCGAGTGCCAGCGGTAGGGTGGTTCAAATAGCCTCGGCTATCACCTCGTTCTGTCCGGTCGTGATGGTCAAGTGGATTAAGGCGTCTTGTACATACCAGTTGCGTTGCTCCTGGGAGTATGGGTTCGAGTCACTTCTGGGGTGTGAGTTTTCAGTTATATATATATATATATATATATATATATATATATATATATATATATATATATATATATATATATATGTCGTACCTAGTAGCCAGAACGCACTTCTCAGCCTACTATGCAAGGCCCGATTTGCCTAATAAGCCAAGTTTTACTGAATTAATATATTTTCTCTATTTTTTTTCTTATGAAATGATAAAGCTACCCATTTCATTATGTATGAGGTAAATTATTTTTTATTGGAGTTAAAATTAACGTAGATATATGACCGAACCTAACCAACCCTACCTAACCTAACCTAACCTATCTTAATAGGTTAGGTTAGGTTAGGTAGCCGAAAAAGTTAGGTTAGGTTAGGTTAGGTAGGTTAGGTAGTCGAAAAACAATTATTTCAAGAAAACTTGGCTTATTAGGCAAATCGGGCCCTGCATAGTAGGCTGAGAAGTGCGTTCTGGCTACTAGGTACGACATATATATATATATATATATATATATATATATATATATATATATATATATATATATATATATATATATATATATAAATGTGTGTGTGTGTGTGTGTGTGTATATCACGAAAATAAACACGTGATTAAAAATGTGACAATGTCAGACCACGGAGGAAACATGAAACAGGAATTTCCTTAAGTACTTTCGTATATTAATACATCTTCAGAACTCCTTCTGAAGATATATTAATATACGAAAGTACTTAAGGAAATTCCTGTTTCATTTTTCCTCCGTGGTCTGACATTGTCATATATATATGTTCATTTATGTCATCGTATAACACATACAAATAAAAGAACTTGTGTGTTCATGGTTAGGCTTCGGCTTATGTAGAGTTTAAACACCTTACCTTGAGCTTTCTTGCACATGAAGTGGAACTCCTCGGTGACCTTCTCCACCACCCAGCGACCGTCAGCGTCCGAGGCGTCCACGGCCCCAGCACCGTACCCATTCAGAGACCTGCCGCCCATACCACACTTCAATACACGGCATTCCCAGCTTAAGGGGCCCGGTGCTCAAAAATATTCGTCCATGTATGAAATATAGTGAAAATTGTTAAACAAATCTCCAATTTATTGTCTTCAGCATCGTGAAAGTTTCATCCCAATATTTTCAGAAATGGATTTTAGACAAGTTTTTAAAAAGAACATTTTGTTGATCAGGAGAACAGCTCTTATTAACTGGGACTGAGGGATGATGCAGTAACAAGGAGATGCAAGCACCTGTCCGATAAACAAAGAAGAAGAATAGTAGTAGTAAGAAGGGTCCTCAGAATGTATATGCAGCTGGTGCCTTTATAGCACCGATGAGTAATACATAATAACACAAATAATAATGAGAATGTTATTATGCTCTATTTTGTTATATATTACATAAATACATTGTCCAATTTAATTATCTGTTACTTTCACTAATGTCCAATTTTGGGGGGAGGGGGGGTGAAATTTATTTATTTATTTCTCCTTTGTTTATTATCTGATTTTATTGTATCTTCTACATCATGGAGAACGTATACCAGTCATTAACTATGTGAAGCTAGAATGAAATTTGTCAACAAATAAATCAGTCACAGCTGGCAGAACTTAGGACTAATTTATTTATTTTTTACTGATTTTTCACAGATTTCAAACTCTATTTTGTTTGTATCCAAAGGTTGTTTTGATGATTAGGGACCTGATTAGGGCTTTATCATATATATTATGACTTCATATAGATCCCCATTATAATGATCTAAATCATTATAATTATCCCAATATTTTGTTTGTTTATGGGCGGTTATTTTTTCTTAACTTCATTTCAAAACATATTGACCTACATCTTTTACATATTCGAATACGAATGCCAAGCAATATTTACTAAAATTTACAAGATATGACAACAATTCAAACTATATATATCTATTGTCGAGAAGTTTACCTTCATTTTTCTGTATGAAAAGGATTTTCAACTTTCAAACTGAGTAAAAAAATCAGTTTCTGAGCAATTATCACCATTTTTACATATTATGTGCAAAGTTCTTAGTTCTAGGGTTTATATTTGAACCTTTATTCATAAACCCAAAACTTTGAGAGGTATACATTTTTGCATCTAAATTTTGCACATGTAGTATTTTGAAGGCCACATTGAATTTTTTTTTTTTACAATAAACTGTGCTCTCAAACTAAATTTCTCAAATAGAAAATTAAGGTTATATGCCATTCTGAGTCCACAATGAAAAATAAAAATTAGTAACATTTTTAATAAATTTGGGTAATAATGAAATCAATTTTTTTAATTTTTGTATATGTTTTTATATATATATTGTTTTCTGTTCACATTATGATGTTGATCCATTAGGAGAAGTTGGAACATTTACCATGTAGATTATGCACACAAAATTTGAGTGTTTGAGGAAGGTTTATAAGTTGGTCACAGGGCTCCTTAATCTACACACTGAGTGTAACGTTCTACCCTCACTTTTTTTTTACAGTGGTGGGTAAATGAGTAGATGATGCCTGTTTCTTACAAGTAGTCTTAGAGATCTTACTTCCCGCAGCTTATCTTAAGTCATACTCGAACTTCCCGCAGCTTATCCAAAGTCATACTCTACCTTTATGACTAAACCACACACCAGAAGATGAAGAGACGACGATGTTTCGGTCCATCCTGGACCATTATCGTGTTGATTGTGACGTGATAATTTGACACGGCCTGATAATGGTCCAGGACGGACCGAAACATGGTCATCTGTTCATCATCTCGTGTGTGGTTTGGTCATCATATCTTCAGTAACGTTATTGTGGCTCATTCTCTGCAAACTCTAACTTGATACAGCTTATCTAAAGTCATACTCTAACTTGCCATAGCTCATCTACAGTAAGGTCATAATCTACTTGTTTTTCCTTGGAATATGATTGGCCAGCCGATTGATAACCGGTTGGCCTGTTATTGCACTACACAGCCGAGGTGGCACCTAGGCATTACTCACAGGTCAGGCTGCCCGTCCTCCCAGTTAGTGTAGTTGGTGACCTCGCCGTCCGCCCAGGTAAACTCCCCCGGATGATCCTGGGAAACAAGGGGAAACAGTTTATGTGAAACCGACGCGTCCTACACTGTAGGGTGTTGCCAGAGTGTGTGATGTAGTGAACTACGTCACCACATTACACCCCCTACATCTTATGTTGACTTCCTTAATGAAATACAACTCCAGGAAAATGAATACATGCAATAGTTAACACCAATGATAAGTACAGATTGGATTAAATATCTCCACATGGGGATTTTCAATTAGAAGCAACATTTCATGTGCAACACACAACGACGTCCACTCGTTGTGTGCCGAATTCAGTGTACTCGTTCATGGCACATGAAACGTATTTTGTAATTATTGTTGTTTCTAATTGAAAATCCCCATGTGTAGATATTATAATTAATCCAGCTGCCAAACTTGGTGTTTATGAATGAGATACACTTTATACTGGAGCAGCCCGTCCTCATATACAAAGATTCAAGCTTGTTAATCCAGCGGCCAAACTTCCTGTTTATGAATTAAAACCTGTTTACACACGACTCACAACTGATGACGTCCGAACACTTCCAGAACAAGTGCTTTGCTCACGTCCTGTGTTCGAACCACAATTCTATAAATGCTGTGGGGTATTTTCCCCATCAGGATTTTGTTTGTTTATTTATTTATATATTAATTATTAATTTATTGAAATTACTTTAATTTATTATTATTAATTCAAAGTGGACTGTATACTCTGTGATTATCCTGCCAGGTGTTTACCTGATCACATATTTGGGGGGTTTTATGTACGTAGCCTATTAATCAAATATTAATATAGATAGTGGTAATAAACTAATGAATTATTAATGTTAGTTCTAATACTATACTGGTATTAGTGTAATACGGGACACAGCTTAGCTGTTAAGGAAGTTGTGGCTGGGTTATCCAGCCATGCACACGTCCTGGTCACGTGAGCCATGTTGTCTCGTGTTCGAGCAAGTATGGCGTCTGTACAGGTCGACGTAGATGCTAACAACTCGCTGTGATTATTTTTCCTCCCTTGAACCACACCTGTAGAGTAACTACAGTGTAGTAAACTGTATCCACAAATGAATAATATAGCAAGGAAATGTTGTGTAATTTGTGAAACCAGGCTTAACCTTGAGGTTGTTGTTTTCATGTGTTCTAAAGATCTATCCTAGACACAGAATAAATAAAAGCCAATAAATCTGAGCTAAAATAAACTGAACTGGCACCTCCAATAATTCTTGCAACAATTAGTGACTAATGTGAGTCACGTTGCCTTTGGGGATTTGCTGGTGGAGATAGTGGTCACGTAGTAGCTCAATATTGGCTCAACAACCTCCAGACGTGTCAACTTCCCAGCAGTGCACTCTCATGGGCAGCCTTTGTTTACAGTGCTGCCCTCGTTCTCCCTCCACTCTTGACACATACAGAAACGGTTCATTTTGTTTCAAGAGAAGTGGCTTATTTAGTATATTTGACTACTGTTTATTATTGAATATATAATTAATAGCAATAATTTGTTTATTGTGTTGCCAGTTCTGAGACTGGAAGATGTTTAGTGGAACATAAGTTAGCTGAATTTTGTGACGAAATCTGATGGTAGCGGCCTTTCTCATTCTGTTTTCTTTTAATGACAAATGTAAATTAACATCTTATGGCAGTTAGTAATGTTAGTATGCTACTGTCGGAATTTCCCACATAATTCCAAGGGGGAAATGAGAAGTTGGGGTCTGAGTCCAATATTTAGGGCTGCCGAACACTTCATTCCTCTCCTTCAGAATTATAATATTGTTTAAATTTTAACTTGCAATGTTGTGTGGCAGTCCTTTCTGGATGGATGTCCCATACTGGAGCTGCAGGTGTTAGAAGTCTTTGAGCGACTTCTTTTCCTGTTAGCTCTAAAGGAACTAGTTTCTCTTAAGGTTTGAGAGAGTGTTCCCTTGGCACTTTACTTTCGCTGTTCTCAAGATATCCTGGTTGTCTGGATGAACAGAGACTATACAACCTATAGGCCATTCTGAGCCTATAGCCAACCTATAGCGTGGCCCATCACTGTCCACCAAAACAATGTCACCAGGGTTTAAGTTAATTTTGTTGTAGGGTTTGTTTGCCCCCGTAATGATACTCCCTCAGAGCAGTTAGGTATTTTAGAGTCCAAACGTCATTCCACCGACTTATTACTCGTAACAGATGTTTATAGCTCTGAACCAAGTCACTCTGACATATGAGAGATCTTCTGGTCCCTCATCTGTAAGGAATGCTAGAGGGCTAAGAAGTCCCCCCATGCATCAGATGAGATGGACTTAGTGGCTCACATTGTGAGATATCGTCAGAAAGGTAGGTCAATGGCTTATTATTGACCCAAGATTCTATTTCAGTGACAACGGTTTTAAGCTCCTGTAAGTCAATCTTTTGATAGTGGAGGGTTTTCCTTAGACAACGTTTCACTGTGCCCATCATTCGTTTGTAGAAACCTCCGTGCCATGGTGCTCTGGGGGGTATAAACTTTCAGTGGCACTGCTGTCTATTCAGGGCAGTGTGTACCTCTGGGTGGTTCCAGATTTTCCTCAGACATGCTTTACCCTGCCACCAAGTTGCACCTGTTGTCTGAGATCATCAACTTGGGGCAGGATCAACGGGCAGCAAACCTGCGGAAAACCTGTATGCACTCACACAGGAGTCACTTCTAGATGTACTCTCCCTTGTTGTAGCAAAGGTCAAAACGCAAATGTATGCCTTCACTGGAACGTTGTCCTTGGTGCCTGTGAGTGTTAGAACGCCTGTGTAGTCCTCCCAGTGGTCTCAAAGGGACGGAGGTGGACAACTCGTTCCTTAGGGAGTGGAGGAGGTTCTGGATAAGGACACACCTGAGTGCCATGCCTCCAGCAGATTACACAGAATTTTATTATAGACTTTACAGTCTGGTGACCCTCAAGAAGCCAGAACTTTTGTCTTAAATTTGTGAGGGTATCTAATACCCCACCACGCAAAGTGCCGTGTTTGTGCATGTGTAGTGCGTACGTTTAGCCTGCTTACTATGTGGTGACAGAGAAGAAACATTTATTTTTTTACTTCCAGGTCTATTTTGGCATGCTATAAGTGGCCCCCTGCTCCTTAATATGCAATAACTGTCTAGGTCAATCCAGAAACCCAGATCATTTTCAAGTTTTTTAGGGAGATTTTCAACATTCATCCCGTATGTTTCGATTTGGGCTCTTTTGACCCAGTACTTTAAGGGACTAGGGATTTTTTTTTTTATTTATTTTTACATGCAAGCATGCTTATAAGTACAATAAAAGTAAACAATAACAACATAGAACAGACCAAAATAACAAAGCACAAATGTGCAAAAACATAAAGGAACAAATGTACTAAACACAAAAAGCCGACCGGAAGAGCCGACCACAAAACAATACTAACTACAAACAAATCACAACAAGCAAGTTAAAACACAGCGGAATATAATGCAGAAATAACACACCAAAACAAGAAATATACAGAACAAGGCTACCAGCACCGCAGACACACGGAGAGGCACCAACACAAAACGAAAATAATAATAATAATAATAATAATAATAATAATAATAATAAAAATAACAACAAGAAAGGAAAACAAATATACAACAAACAGAAAGAAAAGCACAATGGCAAAACACGACAAAAAGCATGACCCCAGACCGGGTCACGCCAACAGCCTGAAGGGCACTCAACACGACACAAACAAGCGCACAAACAGTATCATAAAAACATAGAACCACAAAGCATAACATAAGAACACGACACCCACAACCAGACACAAACACCAACCAAACCCCGGACCGCACAGGAACTGGACACACAAGCCACACAAACCCACAACCACAAACCGGAGCACGCAGGAACTGGGAAACAAACCCGCCCCACCCACACACACACACCCGACCAGCACCCCACAACCATGCACACAAATGGAAACAACCCACAATACACATAGCAATCATGAGCGAGGAATACATTTCTCAGAGACAGGAATATATTTCTCAGGGAACGAATCCCAAGGATACCGCCGCTTATAGGCCTCCGAAATCAAATACTCCAAGTCGGTGGGGGGACGATCCCCCTGTCACCGTGGGCCCTGCATAAACTCGGGAACCTCCAGATCAGGCGGAAACGGCCACTCCTGAAGCTCACCGATGCAAGTCGCTTAACGAAGCTGGGGAGCGCAAGCCACGTCCTTCGAGGTAGCAGACGACACCGATGGTGCGTACGAGGGCTGCCGAGACGGCCGCGTCGCCGTACGCACAGGAGCAGGGGACAATCGACGAGATGGTAACGCCTCCACCGAGACCGCAGGAGACACTGAAGAGATGGCTGGAGACGGAATAGGCGTCGAGACCGCAGTCGATGAAACGGGGACCGAGGAAGGGGTTACAGAACCTCCAGAGCGAGCAGTCTTTTTCAATAGCGTCACCAGGCCACCCCGCTCACCACGAACCTCAGCAGGGGGAACCACCCCCCACGAAGAACCGGAGCCATCCGAGGCAGGCAACGCACCCGAAGCAGGAACCGCAGACACCATATCTGAAGTGGAGGCCGAAACACCGGCACTGGCATCCTCAGGCAAATGCACCTCCGCCATCACCGTAGTATGGCGGTGATGGCGGTGATTATTTTCTACCACAACGCAACCGGAGCCACCCCTCCGTCGCCGGCAGATCCACAAGCGTCGAAATCGCCAACGTCAGCCCACGCTGAAGACGAACACCGGGAACGCTTAGGCTCTGGCCGCACATCATCAGACCCGGAGGCTGACTCAGAGACACGCGCAACACAAGCCGGGCGAACCGATGCACGTCGCAGAGCGGCAGCATCCTCAACCACATGGGGCACCTGGCCAGGCACAGGAGGAATCGCCGGATCCATCCCCATCACTCAGCACTGCCGGAACAGACGGCAAGGGTGCAGGGACAGGGTCAGACGCAGCAGAGGACGAACTGGAAGACGGGGGAATCGAGCAGAAGGCAGTCCGAAGAACCCCAGGGACACTAGTCGAATCAGGACGATCACCATGCGACGACACAACCTCTTGAGGAGAGGCGACAACAACAGGGGGCGCACCAGGCGGCGCAACAAGCGACACAGGGGGCACATCTGCAGCTGAAGAGATGTCCACATCCACCGAATCCTCCTCCACAGGAAGCGGTGGAAAATCCTCCTCACTGAAGAGGTTCACGGGTGCAACGGCAGGCGCAGAACAGTCAGCAGCCTGATGGCCCAAGAGGCCACAACAATAACACGTCCGAGGCTGGCGGGCGTAAAACACCCGAACGTTGTAACCCAGAAGACGCACAGAGGACGGAATATCTTCCCGGAGCCTCATGCCCAGGGTGCGAATGTTAGTCCTCACACCCTTAAGTGGACTGGAAGACACCACGTTCACCCGCACACTAACCACTGCGCCAAACCGGCCGAAGTACCGCCGTAGCAGACCCTTTGGAAACTCCAATGGAGCCCCATGCACACTGACGTAAGTGAGGGCACCACTCCGATCAGAGAGTGACACAGTGCCCGCACCATCTGGCAGGGGTAATGTCCGCCCCTCGTATTGACGGAGAAAGTCGCGATACGATACGCCAATTCCTCTGTGAACTTCAATATCGCTCGACGTGCCATCACCAGCTCGACTCCATAAATGTTTATCACAGGGATATGAAGCAACTCACACACTAGCGCTATCTCTGGGTACCTCTGCCCGGCCGGAAAATTCGAGGCCCACAGACTGAGCCCGCAGTACAGGGGGGAGGGGGACCCCCATCGTGAACTCCACGTCAGTACAGGCAGGCAGAGACACACCCGCCCCCAACCGGCCAAATTGGTAAACAACACCAACAGCCGGAGCGCCGAGGCAACACGTCTGTCCCCTACCGAAGCTAGGGCCAGACTCCAGGGACTAGGGAATTGATATTTGATTCCTATTGTTTTAGGAAATCAAATACCCTTTGTATGACACCTAATAGTCTTTCGACTCACATTCGGGGATCCCGAGAATGATTCTGGAGCAGAACAGAAATGGTTAGGCACATTTCCTTTCAACTTATGGTCCTGTTCACCTATCAATGAATAGGTACCCAGGAGTCAAGCATAGAGCGCAATCTGGCCATTAAGTCGACGTTTGGTTCATCCCACAGTGCCAGGACTGCTGGAGGAAACTGGCGCACTAGATACTCAGAGTAATCGCCAAAGCTGGAGTGTTTAAGCAAACTTGAGCGTTTAAGCAAGCTTGAGTGGTTAAGCAAGCTTGGCATCTCACTCATTCAAAATTTGAGAGTAGGTTGAGGATGTTGCACCCCCGTGGGCAGGTTAAGCGTTCGCTTTACCGGTCGAAATTCATCTGTCTAGTTCCAGCTGTCCTGAGGAACAGTTTTGGGGGAAGGGATCTATCAGGAGAAGCGGAAAGTTATTACGACTATAGAGCACTTAAAAGGGGTCAGGATAAGATATTAGGGATGGGACAGGGGTTGGGAGGAATGGTGCCCAACCAATTGGACGGTCGGGGATTGAACGCCGACCAGCATGAAGCGAGACCGTCACTCTACCGTTCAGAACAAGTTGCTGGGGACAACTTCGGAGGGAACCAGCTACTAGTTGGCTCGATTAGTCTTGCCTAAAATGAATATACTATTATAAAAGGAAACAATAATTTATGCTTCTTGATGAGAAGAGTTGAAGTTTACAGAGGAGGAAGATTGGAGGCAGCAGGAGCATCGGAACCATTAACCGCACGATCATCATTATCATCAACAAGAGTAGGGGGGATAAAACCCCTGGTTGAGCAGCCTACCTCCTCCGTCAGACCAATCCAGACGTTGTCGTGAAGGTCCGCTGCCAGGTCTGTGGCCATCTGCTGCTCTGTCAGCGTCACGATGCTCAGCAGGGAGCCGCCCTCTATCTTGCACTCAATCAGGCCGTCGTGCCACGAGTCTACGAACTCCGATTTCTGCCGTGACAAGTACTCTGAATAAGTGATGGAGCAGACGACAAGTGCATATAACAGATAAATGCATTATGGAGCAGCAGGGTGGTGCATATAAGAGATACATGCATTAAAGAGCAGCAGAGTGGTTCACATAACAGATAAATGCATTATAGAGCAGCAGAGAGGTGCATACAACAGAGATGAGTGATTTATAGAGTGCCAGTTATTACTCTCTCTCTCTCTCTCTTTCTCTCTCTCACCTTGTAACAATAGTTGTCCATCTCGTCCCAGCCGTCATCGTAGTCACAGGGTGGCGGGATAGCTGTGTGAAGGTCCAGACAATTATTACTCACAGGGACCTCTCAACATGCTGCTGTAGTGTCCTTACCAACATCTTAAAATTAACTACAATACGATGTATTGTACTCCCATGACACAGGTAATGTAGAGGACACTCTGGAGTACATGTAATACAATACAAAATTGTTTCCTTATACAACAACACGAATACAATACATGAGTGAGAAGCTCTCTCATCGACCTCCCGTCACATCACTGATTGTATCTATATATATGTGTGTGCTGTGAACTATGAACACTCACGGTGGTATATGACACCATCAGTGTTGCCAGACTAGAGATCAACACCTTGTGATGCATAGAGAGTTCAAGTTCGACGGCGGGAATTATCAGGGGAAAGCGCTAAGCCATTACGATTATATAGCACTTGGAAGAAGTCTGGATAAGGATTAGGGATGGGACGGGAGCGAAGGAATGGTGCCCAGCCACTAGGACGGTCGGGGATTGAACGCCGACCTGCATGAAGCGAGACCGTCGCTCTACCGTCCACACCAAGACGAAGCCAAGCACACTCACTGATGTTTCGGTGGCAGGTGAACTTGAGCTGTTGTGAGCAGTCCTGCTTGATCAGTTTGCCGTTCAGGGTGAAAGCGGCGCAATTCCCCTCCCCCGTGTCCTCAAACGCCCTGTCCACACAAAACATGTATTACGTCGTATTGAACCACTGTACAAGATATAGAGCACTACATCCCATATTGATAACAGGAATATGAAACAAAAGAGGTGCAAGTTCATGTCCACTCACGTCACGGAAGTGTCGACATCCACTCCAATTTCTATCCATTTCCAGGTGTCGTCGACCAGTTGAGCGCCGACCCACATGTAGGCGTCCTGGCCGACGTCTCCAGTCTCCGCCACGGCGCCCACCAGCCAGTCCTGTGACATAGACCTACCTTGAGGCATGTATGCAACCCCAAATGCAGCGACTCATTTGGTAAGGATCACGCAGATATATATATTTGCACAATTTATAAGATAAATGACATAAACGGAAGTAAGAGTGGGTACTGACACGCATAGCGGCGCTGCCGACAATGGCCAGGTCGCCACCGTGGGCCCTGCAGTACGACCTGGCGTCTGTGAACGACCTGGAGTGACCTCTGTTGTGGATGAGGTAACACTGGTCAATGCCGCCTCGCTGCTGCCACTCAACGGGGCACCGGGCCACCATCTTGCCCACACCTGCCGGCACAGCAACATGTTAGTGGTGGTGGTTCACCTTACTGTTAGGTTAGGTTCGGGCAATTTAGTACGTTAGTTTAGTGACGGTGGGAACGTCCTGGAGTGATGCCACAGGTTCTCTTATTGTTGATAAAATATTTTCCAGATGACTTTATGACTCGCTATAGGCTTATAGAGCTATGGAACAGCCTACCCGACGAAATATAAATAGGCCAAAACTCTCTGCTCCAAATGGAAAAGATCATCAGGGCAAATGCGGGACCTTTGACAAGCCGCCGGCTTCCTGTCCTCTTCGAAGCCACTAGAGTTAGTAGCTCTAAGGTAAATTCAGGTAAATTCTCTCTGCGTAACTTTAAAAATGTGATCCTCCAGCTCCCGGTCCCCAACCACAGTACAAATGTTGATCAAACGTACAAAAAATGAACTGTTTGACCATCACAAAAACGTTCAGGCTTTTAATGACTGAATTAGCCCATATTGCATTCTAAAACTATGGACACGTAACTGAAGAACGTTGTCTAACCAGTCCAAGCAAACCTAGGCCTAATGTACGCTGTCTTAGGCCTAATATAGCACGTGTATATGCTATATTAGGCCTAGGAATGTTCACGTTTGGGTTCTACATTATTAATTGTGCACAACGGGAACATTTAGGGTCCGTCATTACATTCGTGTACGACCATATAGTTGATGTGTTATTTTATGCAGGTTATATACCAGGCGGTGTTTACCTGTAAACCCACCAGGCAGTGTTTACCTGTAAACCCACCAGGCGGTGTTTACCTGTAAACCCACCAGGCGGTGTTTACCTGTAAACCCACCAGGCGGTGTTTACCTGTAAACCCACCAGGCGGTGTTTACCTGTAAACCCACCAGGCGATGTTTACCTGTAAACCCACTAGGCGGTGTTTACCTGTAAACCCACCAGGCGGTGTTTACCTGTAAACCCACCAGACAGTGTTTACCTGTAAACCCACCAGACGGTGTTTACCTGTAACCCCACCAGACGGTGTTTACCTGTAACCCCACCAGGCGCAGTGTTTACCTGTAACCCCACCAGGCGGTGTTTACCTGTAAACCCACCAGGCGGTGTTTACCTGTAAACCCACCAGGCGGTGTTTACCTGTAAACCCACCAGGCAGTGTTTACCTGTAAACCCACCAGGCGGTGTTTACCTGTAAACCCACCAGGCGGTGTTTACCTGTAACCCCACCAGGCGGTGTTTACCTGTAAACCCACCAGGCGGTGTTTACCTGTAAACCCACCAGGCGGTGTTTACCTGTAAACCCACCAGGTAGTGTTTACCTGTAAACCCACCAGGCGGTGTTTACCTGTAAACCCACCAGGCAGTGTTTACCTGTAAACCCACCAGGCGGTGTTTACCTGTAACCCCACCAGGCGGTGTTTACCTGTAACCCCACCAGGCGGTGTTTACCTGTAAACCCACCAGGCGGTGTTTACCTGTAAACCCACCAGGTAGTGTGTACCCGTAAACCCACCAGGCAGGTGTATATGTAAACCCACTAGACAGTGTATACATGTAAACCAAAGCTAAGACACTAGTGCACCAAAGTACGTGGTTATTCCCCTCTCAATAAACCAAAGTTTACTAATAATAGTATACAATTAACTCAGCTTGGCCAGAGGATTCTATTGGTGGGTTGGGGAAGTGAGGATTAGTCTCCGTGTTCAACACATTTTGGGGATTATGTTTCTGGTCTGAAGAGACGTTGGAAGGAAAACATGATAGTTTGCTTGTGTAGTTGGCTGGATCCCTCGTTACCACAGGTTCACCCGCAGTCAGTGTCATAGGCTCCCTTATTATAAGATTAGTCCCCCCACCCCCCGGCATCAAAATTGGTTTGCTTGCCGTCAACACAGGTTCACACTGCTGCTCCTGCTTCTAATGCTGCTGGTGTCTACTCTATTTCCTGTTCGTCTTGTCCTCTCCAATACTTTGGCGAAACTGGCCGTACACTGAATGACAGACTTAAAGAACACAAAAGAAGTGTTAAATCTGCAGACACAATGCTCTCTTCTGTCATGTTAGGGATTCTAATCATCCTATTGATTGGTCTTCCTCCAAAATAATCTCTCCTGCCTCTACACAGACGCCGTCTTGTTGAGTCGGCTCTAATGCACAACATACCCAATATAAATTTTAGTCCTGGCTTTGTTGCTGTTGACTCTTCCCTTTCACAGTATATACTCAAATGTTCTAAATTTTCTAACAAACATGACCTAACATAAACTTATCTTTCATTTATCTTTGTTTCTCATTCCTTCTTTTTTTCTTTCCCTTGTTTCTCTTACGATCACCCTTTTTTATTCCTATTACTACCTCCTTTATTACACCTTACCTTTCGTACCTATTGCCTTGCTTTTTCTTTCTCTAGGATTTTCTTCTCCTCACCTCTCTCTTGCCTATTTATTGCCTTCGCCTCCTTCCTTCATCATAGTCGACTTCAGAATCGTTCAGGACGGACCGAAACGTCGTCGTCCCTTCACTCTCTAGTGTGTGGTTCGGTCAACAAATTTCAGCCACGTTATTGTGACTCCTCGTCTGAATATTTAAAACCATATTTTCAGATGGAACCAATATTCTTCCTCAAGGTCCTGTGCAAAATGTTCAATACAATATTGAAACATTGTTTAGTGTACCGTGAGAGAGGATCTAACATCCGAAAATTTGGTTTTAAATACACCTAATAAATTAGGTTACAAAATTGGCCAGAATGATAAAGAACCTGTTCCATATTATGCAGTGGTCATCCACGGTATTAACATGATGTTTTGAATTTACACACCAACAAATTTACAAAACCCGGTGTACTTTGCTGTAAATAAGCAGTAAATGCCTCTCACCATTGTGGCATAGAAGAAGGAGGAGAATGAGGAGCGTGGGAGTTATGTTGATCGTGAGGGCCATAGAGGAGCCTGGCAGTGTACACATGGTCGTGGTCCGAGCCCTCCGCCTGCTGCCTCGCTACTGACGCTAGTCACGCCTCTCTATCACCTTCGTCACCTTTGACCACTTCACAACCAAACGTGATTGTGTCACTTTCCGTCGACGGTTTGGTGAGTGTTGCCATATATGACAGTTGGTGAATGTTGTCGTAATAGACAGTTGGTGAGTGTTGCCATACATGACAGTTGGTGAGTGTTGCCATATATGACAGTTGGTGAATGTTGTCGTAATAGACAGTTGGTGAGTGTTGCCATACATGACAGTTGGTGAGTGTTGCCATATATGACAGTTGGTGAATGTTGTCGTATATGGGAGTTGGTGAGTGTTGCCATATATGACAGTTGGTGAGTGTTGCCATATATGACAGTTGGTGAATGTTGTCGTATATGGGAGTTGGTGAGTGTTGCCATACATGACAGTTGGTGAGTGTTGCCATATATGACAGTTGGTGAATGTTGTCGTATATGGGAGTTGGTGAGTGTTGCCATACATGACAGTTGGTGAGTGTTGCCATATATGACAGTTGGTGAGTGTTGCCATATATGACAGTTGGTGAATGTTGCCATACATGACAGTTGGTGAGTGTTGCCATATATGACAGTTGGTGAATGTTGTCGTATATGGGAGTTGGTGAGTGTTGCCATACATGACAGTTGGTGAGTGTTGCCATATATGACAGTTGGTGAATGTTGTCGTATATGACAGTTGGTGAGTGTTGCCATACATGACAGTTGGTGAGTGTTGCCATATATGACAGTTGGTGAATGTTGTCGTATATGGGAGTTGGTGAGTGTTGCCATACATGACAGTTGGTGAGTGTTGCCATATATGACAGTTGGTGAATGTTGTCATATATGACAGTTGGTGAGTGTTGCCATACATGACAGTTGGTGAGTGTTGCCATATATGACAGTTGGTGAATGTTGTCGTATATGGGAGTTGGTGAGTGTTGCCATACATGACAGTTGGTGAGTGTTGCCATATATGACAGTTGGTGAATGTTGTCGTATATGGAAGTTGGTGAGTGTTGCCATACATGACAGTTGGTGAGTGTTGCCATACATGACAGTTGGTGAATGTTGTCGTATATGGGAGTTGGTGAGTGTTGCCGTACATGACAGTTGGTGAGTGTTACCATATATGACAGTTGGTGAATGTTGTCGTATATGGGAGTTGGTGAGTGTTGCCATACATGACAGTTGGTGAGTGTTGCCATATATGACAGTTGGTGAATGTTGTCGTATATGGGAATTGGTGAGTGTTGCCATACATGACAGTTGGTGAGTGTTGCCATATATGACAGTTGGTGAGTGTTGCCATATATGGGAGTTGATGAGTGTTGCCATACATGACAGTTGGTGAGTGTTGTCATACATGACAGTTGGTGAGTGTTGCCATACATGGGAGTTGGCGAGTGTTGCCATATATGACAGTTGGTGAGTGTTGCCATATATGACAGTTGGTGAGTGTTGTCATATATGACAGTTGGTGAGTGTTGCCATACATGACAGTTGGTGAGTGTTGCCATATATGACAGTTGGTGAGTGTTGTCGTATATGGGAGTTGATGAGTGTTGCCATACATGACAGTTGGTGAGTGTTGCCATATATGACAGTTGGTGAGTGTTGCCATACATGACAGTTGGTGAGTGTTGCCATATATGACAGTTGGTGAGTGTTGTCGTATATGGGAGTTGATGAGTGTTGCCATACATGACAGTTGGTGAGTGTTGCCATATATGACAGTTGGTGAGTATTGCCATACATGACAGTTGGTGAGTGTTGCCATACATGACAGTTGGTGAGTGTTGCCATACATGACAGTTGGTGAGTGTTGCCATATATGATAGTTGTTAAGTGTTGCCATACATGACAGTTGGTGAGTGTTGCCATATATATGAGTTAGTGAGTGTTGCCATATATGACAGTTGGTGAGTGTTGCCATACATGGCAGTTAGTAAGTGTTGCCATATATGACACTCGTCATATATGACAACATATATATACGAATTGGTCCATATATAGGAGTTGGT